GTGTGATACTGATTAAAAAAAAATAGACATGTAGACCAGTGGAACAGAGCAGAACACAGAAACAAACCCTACAACTACAGCCATCTGAGTCTGGACACAGAAGCCCAAAATATGTACTGCAAATAAAAACAGTTAAAGAACAATGGTGCTGAGAAAACCAGATAACTACTATAGAAGATAAACTACATCCTTGTCTCTCAACCTCCTCAACACCTGAAGCCAATGGCATGAGCAAAAACTTCAACAGCAGAGGAGATGAGAGAGTGAACAAATGAGGCTAATCGAATTACAAGTTTCTGTAGAGCAAGAGAAACACCCGACAGAGTGAAATGACAGTCTACAAAACGGGACAAAATATCTGCTGGCTGCCCTTCTGCCAGAGTATTAATATCTGGAATGTACAAAAGTTCAAAAACTTTAACACCAAAAAATCAAATAGCCCAACCAATAAGTGGGCAAATGAATTGAACAAAGTACACGCAGTCAATAAGTATATGGAAAAATGTTCAACACCTTTAGTTATTAGGGAAAGGCAAATGAAAACTATATGAGATTCAAGCTGACCCCGTCAGAGTGGCTGCCCTGCAGAATACTAAGTAAACAGAAAAATACATACATAAAAAATAAACACTGGTGAGGACGGAGGGAGAAAGAAACCCTCTATACAGCCAGTGAGAATGTACGTTAGTGTAGCCACTATGGAAAGCAGTGAGGGCTTACTCATAAAATAGAAAATAGAGCCACCCTTTAATCCAGCTCTACCACTCCTTGCTATTTTCCTAAAGGGATTAAAGCAGCACGCTCTCGGGATGCCTGTACACCTGTGTTTACTGCGGCACAATAGACAACAGCTAAAATGTGGGACCAGCCCAGGGGCCCATGGACAAATGAATGAATAAGAAAATGTGGTACATACACAAGGGGGAATTATTCAGCCTCAGGAAGACGTAACTTCTGTTACTGCAGGTAGATCTGGAGACCACGGTATTAAGTAAAGTAAGCCAGACTCAGAAAGACAAATATTGCATGGTCTCCCCGGTAGACAGATCTTTTTTAAAAAGAAATGACAGAAGAGAGACTATTACTAGACAAGAGGAGGAGAGTAAGAGAGGGAGGGAGGGTGTAAGAAGGCAGATAATGAAGGGATAGATACAAGCAAAATGTATACATCCAAAAAATGTGCAGACACGGAGAGAGGGCGGTGAGACTGCGGGCGGGCTGACAGGGGTCAGAGTCTGCTCTGTGCACGCACGCACACATCGCCAAGATGAAACCAAGAAAAAAATCAGTGGGAAAAATTGGAAATTTTTACATCTAAAAAACAGTAACTTTCTCCCTTCTAATCTTTCTTCTATCTAACCTGTATCTATACCTTATCTATGAATGTTTAAAATTTGAAGCCCATCGAACTTTTTTAATTTGTATTTTATCAGTATGTGTTTGCAATACATACTGATTACAATCATTGTGGCATCCGAATTTTTAAAATTTAGAACTGTAATTTTATTTAATTCATTTCATTACTCCTCTACTTTTGTACTTTATTTGCTCTTGTTATGAATAATCCCTTATATAAGGCAAATATCCTTATGTAAAAACTTTAAAGTTTTCCTATTAACCTGATTTGAACCCCTGTATTGCTCTCACCATCTTGTTTTGACTGATTTTCCTCTATTCTGTTTTGTTTGATAGTATCAAGTTTGAGGGTAGAGGCAAGTACTTTGAAGGCAATAAGATTCACTATGATGCACATTCTGCTTTGACTATTATCTTCTTTTGAAGTCCTGTAATGTCTCCAATGGTTTGGTTTTATTGGTTTTGTTCTTTACTGTTTTGTTCAATTTTATTATTACTGATGATATAGGCAATTCTTTTTAAGATAGCAAGAGGCACTATGGTAACCACTGTTGATCACCTTGTATTCTGTTTTTACATCATGTACTATGTCCATCCTTTTTATTTGACTGACTCTGTTTTCTTTTGTCACATTTGGTTTTATTCTCTTCAAAAAAAAAGTAATAAGAACTGTGGGAGAAATAAATCCCAAAATGTGTAATTGTTATTGTAAAAAAGAGAGGAAAAGTAAGTCTTTGCTAATTTGTTAGCTTGAATCTGTCTCATTGTTTTAATTTGCATTTTCTTGGAAACCAGTGATTTGAATTATTTTTAATGTTATTATTATTATTATCTGGGAATTGTCTACTGTGATTTAAATGCTTAAAAAATACAACCATATTTAAGTCTTTACAATTTATTTTGATGCATGGTAAGAACTAAAACTATATTTAGAAAAATTTCCAAAATCTTACCCAGTTACTCCAGGACTACTTCTTCAATGATTTTTATGTTTTAATGTACGACCAAATTCTAATTATATCGGGGTTTATTTCTGACCTATCAGTCTAGCTCATTTAGCTGTCTGTCAACTTGTACTAGGGTTGCAGGACAGAGGAGTGAGAAATTGTTTAATGGTGTGGGGTTTCAGTTTTGGAAGATAAAATTTTGGGGTGGATGATGATAGTTGCACAACAATGTGAAATGTAGTTAACATCACTGAGCACTTAAAACCATCAGGATGGTAGATTTTACATTATGCACTTTGCTTGGAATGTGTCCCCCAAAATTTATGTGCAGGCAATTGAATCCCCAATACAACAGTATTGAGAAGTAAGACATTTAAGAAGTAATTATATCAGTTCTAGTGGGTTCATGTTGCCATTATGGGGGCAGGTTCCTTGTCATGAGAGTAGGCTTGTTATAAAACACCTTAGGATGAACCAGGGAGTTAGCTCAGTGGCATAAGCGCCTGCCTGGCAAGCGTGAGGTTGTGAATTCAATCCCAGTACCAAAACAAAACAATCAAACAAACACCACAGGAAACTGAGACAGATTTTGTGGGGAAGGGGATCTCAGGATGGGCAGGAGATGAGGAGAGTGGAGGTGATGTGACATGTAGTACGTTCTGTGTATGATGAATCCACTGTATTCATTATGATTCACAAACATACCAATAAAAAGCCATTTGCTCTTTAAAAAAGATATAAAAGGGTGGGGATTTAGTTCAGTGGCATAAGCACCTGCCTTGCAAGCAGGCAGTCATGAGTTCAATCCCTGGTACCGATAAAAATGAAAAAGACACACACACAAAAAAAGACATAAAGACAAATTTAAAGATATCTTTAACAAGTGAGCTTGGCTTTCTTGCTCACTCTCATATTATCTTGCCCTTCTGGAATGATGCAGTAAGAAGGCCCTCACAGATGCAGGTCCCTTGATGTTGTGGCTCCTAGCTGCCAGGATATCCTTTATATGTTATGCAGTCTTAGGTAGCCTGTTAGAGCTGCACAAAATGTGCTATGATCACTGCAGATTGTACCACAATTTTTAAAAAGCCACTAATGCCATTGAAAGATGTTTGCAGAAATTTCGGGACAGATGGAGGTGTGGAGGTTCCTGGAGTGTAGAAAAGGCCTGAAAGTTCATGTATCTTCCCCTGTACTAGTGGCAGTGAACCAATAGCACGTGCAATAGTGGGATGTTTGTATCATTAGAAGCTCCAACCATATCTCCAGCACTGCCGTAAATCTTGCCCCATGCACCTCTTGCAACTGGCTGTCCATCTGTACCCTTTGTAATGTCCTTTATAATAAGCTGGCAAACAGCTGGCCGCATCCAAGGTATGAGCACCCACCTGCCACCCCTGACTGCAGGAGATCCACGCCTGCCTCTTCACCCACCATTAATTTACCACAGTCAGAGTAACAAACACTTGGGTTCACCTGGCTCCTGTGACTTCATCTTGGCCTTGCTGGCCACTTCTTAGGAAGATCAGGCGTCAGTCTTGTGCCTGGCCCAGATGTATGTAATCCTCCTGACTGTTCTTCCTATGGGATTGTGGGGGTAGGTTGTTGGCCTTGTTCCCCATCATAACAGTAATGTAGAGTAAGAAAAATCACCTACTGGGAAATTAAAAAGATGTTTCTAACACTATTTCTGAAAAACAAACACACAAGCAGGATTTCAGTGCACCCATTTCACAAGCCAATTACAGGGGTAACCCTCGACTGAAAGGGAGAGACAAAGTGTTACATGGGCTTGAGACAGACGCCTGCCTGAGGCTGATCCAAGACTTTTCTGTTCTAACAGGGGCTCATGTTGTCTTTTCCCACCAGCTGATCTGTCAGATACTCCCCCACTCCATTAGATATGTTCCAGTACACTTGAACCTCCAAATAAAGGAGTTTGCATTCAATTCTCCTTTCTCCCAGAAGGCGCCACTGTAACAATGCAGACATAAATAGAATAAATATGCACCGGTTCATCTATGACACGGGTACTTGCCAAACTAACATATGCTCCTTCTTATAGTTTTAACAGGATGTACGGGATGATATTGCCTTATGTCCAGAGGAGAGGGTCCCAGCTGTTATGAAGAAGACCTAAAGTTCTCTTTACTATACTGAAAACAGCAAGTTTTAAAGGGCGATGCAACCTATCTACCACCAAACAAAAACGTTTAGGCCCTGAAACCCCAATACGGACATAATGTGTATTAAAAACCCTAACATGTATGAGAACTATCCTCATCACACCACCATTATAGTGGAGAAAAAAAGGGACATTTGCAAGATCTATAGGAAATACGACAGAAGGAGCTGGGAACAATTTGTAGGTTTTGCCGACTAGTGCCCCACATGGAGTGGAGAACATAAAGGAGGAGGTTGGACGGGACAGAGAGGGGCCGGGGCAGGGAAGCTGGCAGGGGGGAAGGAAAAGAAGTGGGTGAAAACGTAGGTTGTTCATGACGGAAGTAAAGTGGATGAAAAGGGAGCAAGAGGTGACCAACAGAATGACACTGCACCAGGGACATCAAACCCCACCTTTGTGATTTGCCTAAATTCCTTGAAATACCGCGAGAGCTCAAATCCTATACCTAACCCTCCTTTAAGACCCGCCCGCCGCGCTGCCCCGCCCCCTACGGCTAGGCCCCACCTCCGCATCCAGGCCCCGCCTCTCGCGCTCTGCGTCATTCAGCTGTTGTCAATAAAGTTGTAGCGATTTGTTGTTGCGGCGGACAACATGGCGGCCTCCACGCTGGGGTCGCTGCTGCGGACCTTCCGGCAGGTCAGGCTTGCACTTTACCTCCACCCCTACCCCTCATCTCTGAATTCTATGGACTGCGGGCCGCCCTCGACCCTCCCCTTCACAGCGCCCATTGCATTCCAATCCCTGGGTCTTCGCTCCTCTCCAGCTTGGTTTAGGGCAGGTCCAAGCTACAGATGTCAGTTTGGTGTTAAGCAGATTACAGGAACAGACTGGCGTGAAATTTGCGAGATTGACTCAAGGGAAGGGGTCCGAAAGTTGCGGCCTTAGAGACTCCAGCCGCACAAAATGAAATTGTTAGCTAGGAAGGAAGAAAACCAGGGGAATGTGTGGCCTGGAAGCCAGCGATGACAGAATTTCAATAAGTAGGCTGTGGGCAGCTGAAAAGTTAGCTAAAAACGCTAACTGGCTGTTGAGTTCAGCAGCGCGAAGGTTGCTGGGACCATGAATAAAGCAGTATCCACGGTCTGATGGGGCAGAGACAGTCAACAGAATAGCAGAGAAATTGAAGACGGTGAGCAGGGGCAAAATGTGCCAAATTGATGTTCATTCATGCTTATTTTCAAAAGGTCATACTGGAAGCATTGTATTTCCTCATGGGACTTTTGTGTAGTAATGGAAGTGGAAAAGGGCTTAGTTTCTTTCTGTTAACAGTTTTTTTTTTTTTAAGTTGGTTCCCCTGGGGCTGGGGTTTTAGCTCAGCGGCATAAGTGCCTGCCTTGCAAGCAGGGAGTCATGAGTTCGATCCCCGATACTGATAGAAAAAGACAAAAAAAAAAAAAAAAAAAAAAGAAAAGAAAATTGGTTCCCCTATTCTTATTCTCAGTTTTCCATTTTGCTATGTTTATGTATTTCTTCTATAGACAGCTACAGGAAGCCATCATCATTTTCTGTAATTATAATTTAATATGTATATAACGTTATATACATGTTACAACATGGTATAAGTTAACATGTTGTATTTCTTCTGAAAGACTTACGTTTTTAGCAGTCGGTACCCTTTTGGCTGTTCTGTTGAAATTACAAATTGAGAACTAGTGTTAATTGTGTTATCAGTGATAATTTCGAAGTACTCTTTGACTTTGAAACTCTGCTTTCAAAAATTTATCCTGCAGATCGATCCTGAGATGATTCATACGTTATTCACTGTAGCATTGTTTATAATACGTGGTGAGGTACGTTGTACAGTCTGACCAATAGGTTGCAGGCTAAATAATGAGGTATCCATTCCACTGAACTATGCAATTTAAAGAAATCGAGATATGAAAAGATCTCTCATACTTTGTTAAATGAAAAAGAGGGGGCTGAAAATGGGAGGAGAAATGTATACGTGTATTCATAGAGACAAAAATCTCTAAAGGATGTGTAGGACACGTAACTGCATGTTCATGGCAGGTGGATATGACTGGGCAAGGGAGGAAGGAGGTGAGAGGGAGACTTCACTGTTTATTTTTACTTTTTTGAGATCAGCCTAAGTAAAAATCAAGAATTTCTAAAAATTTCTCATCTTCTAACGCAACTATTGACGTCATGTTAATTTTTACCACTTGGACTTAATGTGTGTTCATGAAAGTTATTCTGAAATAGTCTATTATTTTGAGTTATTACAGTAACAGAACTGTGAAAGAAATACTTGTCATAGTGACCAATGACTTCAGGACTGGGGAACACTCACCAAACCTAGGCCTGACTGTTCTTACCCTCCACATATTCCTTGCCTCTGTCTTTTAGATACTTCCTTCATCAGCTTCCAGCCAAGTGCGAGGTTACTACGTAGACTGGAAAATGTTACGTGATGTGAAGAGAAGAAAAACAGCCTATGAATATGCCGATGCGAGGCTGCGGATCAATTCGCTTAGAAAGAATACCATTTTGCCAAAAGATCTTCAGGTTAGCTATAAGTCCCTTTCTACAAATCATTAATTCACATCAGATCACTTTTTGTTACTGTTTGTTGCAGTATAATTTCTGAAGAATAAGATCAAATATTCCAAGTCAACATACACAAATAGCCTGTAAACTGACTTAAGTTTTAGAATAAAGATGACTTCACTCCTAACGAGCCTTTTAGCAATCTCGTTGTGCAACCCCAGGAAAGTACTGATGAGTGATGAACAGAGAAAGCAGGCTGTTATTTAGACCCCAAGTTTCCCCTGCATTTCATCCCTGTCCCTCTCAAGGGACTGGGAGGTGATAGTGGTCATGTTAGGTGAAGCGTTAGCCTGTGAAGGGAGCCGCAGGTCTGGCCTGGGGTGCTGATCCTGTACGTTTGTGGTTTCTCCTAGGAAGTGGCTGATGAAGAAATCGCTGCCCTTCCCCGGGACAGCTGTCCTGTTAGAATTAGAAACCGCTGTGTTATGACATCCCGTCCCCGTGGAGTGAAGCGGCGCTGGAGGCTTAGTCGTATCGTCTTCCGTCATTTAGCTGACCACGGCCAGCTTTCAGGGGTCCAGCGAGCCATGTGGTAAATCAGTGCCAGAAGCTGCTGAGCATTCAGCAAAGAAGACTTTCCTAATAAACAAAACCCTCATTTTTAAAGGGGTTCAGTATATTTATCCATGTGATGCTGTCTGTAATTAAATTACTTTTTAAGTTTTATATGAAGAAATTGAAATGTTTGTCAGTGAATTACCTTTTTGATTTAATAGTCATACCATTTTCACATAGAGCACAACCTAGAATAAAACGTATGTTCTGTGAAAATATGCTATGATTTCCTTTTCCTGTAAAGGGGTTTGTGTTTTTAAAAGAACTTCATCAAGAGTATTTTCTTAGTCAGGCATGGGGCTCATGCCTGTAATCCCAGCACTCGGGAGGCTGAGGCAGGAGGATCATCGTGAGTTTGAGACCAGCCTGGGCTACAAAGTGAGCTCAAGGCCAGCCTGAACTGCATAGCGTGAGACCCTGTCTCAAAAAAGACAAAAAAAAAGTATTTTCTTACAGATAACCCAGCTGATAGGTCATCTGTGGCATTCTGTAACCCTGGCCTGGCTTGCCTGACCTGCAGAGTTCACCTGACTATTAATTACTGTTAGTGAAATAATAGATTGGAAGTTAAAGCTGAACAAAAAGAACCACTGTGTTTCTGATTCATCTGAGGGTCTCCAGTATAAAATATGCCTCTAAGTCTGATTATAGAAGGAGGAAAAAATGTCTTGGAATAGTAAATATCTCCTCTATTATTTACATGCTGTAATAAACAATAAGGGTAGCAAAAGCTGACTTGTGGAATAACAATAACGTGATCAGCCCAGTGATGAAAAATATACATAGTGTATTTGTATGGAAGAATGTACTTAGGACCAGGAAAATCGTCACGGAGTGGATACCTGAACTTAAATCGGGAGACGAGATGACAGTCACTGCAGTAGGAATGAAGCACAGGAAGAAGAGAAATGAATGTGTCAAACAGAGAAATCAGTCACTTGAGTATATCAGAAATATGAAGCGTAACACAAAAAAAGCCACATTTACAGAGCATTTCACATATCCAATACCAGGTATTGGAGAGTTTTAAATGACATTAAGCCAGGCACAGAGGTGTACACCTGTAATCACAGCATTTGGGAGGCTGAGGTAGGAGGATCCCAAGCCAGCTTGGGCTACATAGTTCAAGGTCAGCCTGAATTGTATAGCTAGATTTTGTCTCAAAAAAAAAAGACAACTTACTCTGTAGATCATGATAGCTAGGTAGATGGTCATGAAAGACAGGCTACAGATAAGACCTCTGTTAGGATATGTGAGTTGCAACTAGAGCATGAACAGTAGCAAAGAAGAGGATTTGTCCTAGGAGTTGTTTTTTTTGTTTTTTACAGGGTCTCACAATGTTCAGGCTGGCCTTGAGCTTGTGGTGATCCTCCTGCCTCAGCCTCCTGAGTGCTAGTAACACAGGTGTGTACTCTCATACACAGCTAAAAATATTTTTTAGAAATCCAGACATAGTTTAAGTGGCAATGCTGGCTTCCTGGGTTCCTGCTGAGACAGATGGCAAAGGCCAACTCCAAAATAAAGAATATGGCCGGGGTGGGGGGGTACGTGCCTGTAATCTCAGCACCTGGGAGGCTGAGGCAAAAGGATCACTGCCAATTTGAGACCAACCTGGGCTACATGGTGAGTTCAAGGTCAGCCTGAACTTCAGTGAGACCCTGTCTCAAAAAGACCCCCCCCCCCAAAAAAATATATATACACATATTTTTATATATATATAAAATAGATCAAGAGAAGCAAGATGGGAATTGAGGTTTCATCGTGCAGTGTTTGGGATACCTGGTGGAGAAATCTAGAATACAACTGAATAGTCTGGAATTCCAACAGGATATAGGAGGGAATTAAGGTACACCTTGGGTTTGCATTTCCTAAATTCATATGGTAATTCACCAAGTGTCCTCTAATATCTCAAATTATAACTAGTATTAAATCCTAGAGCAGATTTGCTGGTTTTCTAGTTTGTTATTGATAGAATACCCTATCCTCTCTCCAACTGTTTGGTCACTTGGTCCTAAACATAATCCACATTTCATTCAGCAACCATTTCCCTACAATCCTTTTTGCTTCACAAGGGCCTTTCTTAGCCTTTTCTCCTTTGTCTTTCATTGGTTGGGGAAAACAAGCTGTCTAACATTTTGGCCATGCTTCTTCAGACCTCCTTTTTTCCTGTCACCTAAGTTTCCTATAAGCCAACAGTTACATCTAGAGGCTGGACTAGATTCAGGACATTTTGCAGTGGTAAATTTTCAATGGTGTTATTTGCTTTTCCAACCACATATGCTTAGACAGATCAGGTAAGGTCAGCTTGGTCCTTGCACTTAAAAGTTCATCACTAATTAATATCTTGCCTTATGGTTTATGTATTTCATTAGTGACTATTACCCTGGCTGTCATTTCATCAAGGGTTGCAAGTGTTTTTCTGATTCCATCATTTTCCTACATTAGCTAAAAACTACTACCTTGGAAGCCGTACCAAAAAACACTAGCACTCTTGAGACTTTTTAGTGTACAAAACTGAGAAATGTTTTTATCACTTAGAAATTATCAAGTATGTTATTTTTGTTATAGCAACCACATAGATCAAGAAAGTTTTGAAGTTTATGTATTTACTTTTTGACCGGGTTTCACTTAAGCTACCTATGTAGCCCAGGCTGGCCTTGATTTCTCAGCAATCCTCCTGCCGCAGCCTCCGAAGTGCCAATTACCAGCATGTGCCACTACAGCTGGCTGCTTTTTTCTGTTAAATTTTATGATTTCAAAGTGGAAACTGTAGGAAGATATTCACAGAAACAGCACTTTCACCTCCAACTTCTCCCCATGGGCAATAATGTACTAGTTTTGGTTTACTAGTTTCTTCTTGAAATAATAGGGGTGTTTTGTAGTTTTCCCACTTAGCTGTATCCTGATGATGGTTACCAGTGTAACCATTTTGACGGTTAAGTTCTCCCTCATATGGAGGTATCTTGGTGTTTTTTATCTAGGGGGCCCCTCCACAGCCTCGTGCTCACGGTGGGGCTTCTGGGAAGCAGCTGGATCACACATGATAACCCTCACTGGACCAGTCCAGAAGGGCTGATCAGTGGGGTGTGCTGTTGGGAGGTGAACCTGGTCTAAGGAGCTGGGTGCCTAGGGGGTGGTGGCTTGGAAGTGTTGCTCTTCTCCCTTGATCCCTCTGCTGCTTCCTGCTGCCATGCTGAGCTTTCTCCTCTGCCATGCGCCCTGGCTTGGTGCCAGTTAAGTATGGACTGAAACTTCTACAAATTGTGAGCCAAAATAAGCCTCTCCTTTAAAATGAGGGTGCTGAGAATTGTCTCACCGAGTGAGATACTTAGTTATGACACAGTCAGGTAACTTGCATTTGACCTTTTCATCTCACACCTTTTCCCACCACCTCAACACTCAAAACAATCTGTTTAGTGAGTTTTTCAGTGAGATAGAAAGTACAGTTTCTGAGTATTTCTTTTCTTGAACAAAGTGAGCACCTATTAAAGGTCATGGCTGGGGACTGAGCTCAGTGGCTCAAGCGCCTGCCTGGTAAGCATGAGTTTGATGCCCAGTACCAATCATTTATCAACCACTCATCATTGCTGGAAACACTCTGCTATTTGTGGTCATAGTAGGTTTCTCACCAAAAGTAATCAATATTATAAAGATTTAGTTTTCCTTTAGATTCCAAGTCAAAGTATAATTTCCCCCCCAATTCTTGGTTGCAGTGAAAATCTGTCTTTTAGTACTTGTATACTTTCATTTTTACATTTAGATCTTTTGATGTTTACGGAATGTATCCACAGTACTGTTTTGTTTTTGTTTTTGTTTTTTATTTTGTTGTTTTTGAGACAGGGTCTCCTGTGTAGCCCAGGCTGGTCTCAAACTCACAGTGCTCCTCCTGCCTCAGCCTCCTAAGTGTCACCATGTTTGCTTAACAGACCTATTTTTAATTGTTAGTCTCATTAAAATCTATCTTTACTGTTTTAAAAAGACATCTATCATATTCTAAAACGGTCATATAAATTGTTTATTCTATCCATTCTATTCTCGTCTTTTTATTCATGTCCAACATCATAGAGACACTATGTTAAGTACTTCCAAAAGCTGTCTACAGGCTTTTTTCTATACATTAACTTGAAATTCTACCACTTTTACCAAATTCTGCCTATCTGTAGTCTGAATGGATACACTTCCTTTCTCCTCCACGCACCTGCTTTCTCGTCACCACACTACTGGCTATTACTTCCATTATGACGTGCTGATGAAGGTCCCTGGCACCTCCCTCTGCCTTCTGAGTTTAAGCCAGCCTAACTTTCCCGTCGTCATACTTGTGGACAAACACATAGTGAAACTACTGTACATAAAAATCCAACTTTATTGAACACAGGAATAGACGATTTTCAAATTAATTATTTTTACTTGATGATTACTAGTTTTGAAGCTATCTGACCCATGGTATAACTTACTGATACTATATGAAGATGCTTGTCTTTTACCTCAATTCCATATTTGTTAACAAATATACTTAAATCTAGAGAGGAACGTTTATGATTGCGTTAGTGCATGGTAATCCCTGCTACTTACACTGCTCCTGGCAATCAGGGATCAATGGCTCTACAGTAAATTTGAAGCACAAATTTGAATTTTATACAAAAACTCAGTTTTACTCTTATTCTTACATTAGTGGGGAATGACATCTGTAACTTACAGGCAAGCAAATACTTTTGTTTTCTATCTCCTAGCTGAACAAAAATATACATAATATATTGTTTTCATTAGGCAAGACTTTTTATATTTTGATGAGAATGCCAGGTAAACCTTTTGTGAACAAAATGGCCAGGGTACAAACCATCGTTGGAGGAAGTACTTAATAAACATATCTCATTTAAATAAATCCTCCAGTAAGAAATGGAGAATTTGGTGCCTTTACTGTGAAGGCTTTGTAGTTATCTGTCAAATTTCTATGTGCAGCTCACCAACATTCCCTTACTGGAAACACCAGTATTTCTGTACTATAGTTCTCAAAAGGACTTGAAAGTCTCAAAATTCTGTGTCGCCTTTGGCTTGCTTCTCTCTTGATTCCACCCAGGCCTTATTAATAGTTCGCTTCATATCATCATCTCCATCTTCATAAATTTTCTTTAGAACGTTCATTAACCCCTCACTAGGATCTGTCTCAGCATCGTAGGATGGCTTTCTGTTAAAACAAAACACAATAATAGGAAAGTCAACACTCGGAACCATATAATTTGAAGTTGTTAACAGAAGAGACAAGAGGAAGCCAGACTGCCCAATCAAAATATTCACAATATAACAGACAAAATCCATCCTAATAATACACACTTGCACACAGTGCAAGAGTGAAAAAGGAAATGTTAGCATATCAGAGAAGTCTACACTATGAAACAGAAAAGACATCTGCTTATTGTCAGCTATTCATTCATAATACAGAAATGATAGAACTTGAAAGAAGTGAAGCTAAAACAAAATTCCAGCAGTGACCAATGATTATAATTCTATGGGTAATGTTGACACAGTTGACAAACGTCTAACAAGCTATCCTGCCATCAAAAAGTGAGAAAAAATATTATTACAAAAATTATTTATGCATCTTCTGGGCCAAACAATATGGAACTTATAATTCATTCAAAACAAGGAGGTTCAAAAAGTCACTTACAATTTAGATCAGATGTAACAGACCAAATAATTGAAAAATATGGGATAGCAAAATGTCAATCAGGATGTCCATCACTGGACATCTTCACCGTTACTTTTACTGGGAGACATTTTATTCAAATTATACTACCCACACACCTTCCCAAAAGAATTAAAAGCATCACTCTACAGTGATATACACACACTCCTGTTTATAGCAGCACAGTTTGTTATAGCTAAATCTTACAAAGAGCCCAAATCCCCTTCAACTGGTGAATAAAGACATGGTTTTTTTTTGGAGTACTACCTCTGCCATAAAGAAGGATAAACCTGAGACATTTCTAGCTAAGGGGATCCACCCTGAGATCATACTAAGTGGAATAAAATAAGACACATGTGTTGTAAACACTGTATTGTTTCTCTGGTATAAGAAACAGAAAAGGTAGAGCCAGGGATTTAGCTTAGTGACATAAGCGCCTGCCTGGCAAGCCCAAGGCCACGAGCTGAATCCCTGGTACCAAAAAAAATGAAACTAAAAGGGTAAGTAAGGACCAAAATGTAAAATAGATGTTGTGAAGTAAGAAGTAACTGTTCAAATGGGAAGGTGCAGAGCGAGGGAGAAGGGGGAAGGAAGGCAGGAAAAAACCTGCAAACAAAGCTTTCGTACGTAAGATGGGGGAGAGGGGCTGAAGGGAAGCAAGAATGGGGAAAAATAGAAGAAGCAAGTTACGTCATGTATAGGTACAAACCCCCTATGGTGAGTATGGTCATTAGTATACCAGGAAATAGTAAAATGTACCAGTAAACTTCATTTTAAAAGAAGAAATTACTATGCCCACAGAATAAGAGGAAAGGCCTATTAACATGACGATGCAAAGTGCTGTTCAAAGACAATAAAGCAAAAAGAGTTCAGAAAGACACTAGGTGTCAGGTATTCTGTCCCAGCAGGGGAAAAGCTGGCCAATAAAAAAAATTTTAATAATCTGAGAAATTAAAAAATGTAATACAGACATCTGAGCCTTTCCAGAGCTCCCAAAACAAAGCACTGGTAACAGGCTCAATTTACGGAGACAAATCTCTACATCTGGGAATAAAAACCAGTACTAAAGAGCCATCTGTAACAATAAAAAACTCCTTACAAACCAGCTCGCTAGGCTATGTCCTCTTCAAGCAGGCTCTGACAGTTGAAAAGCGATTAAGACAATAAAAAAATGACAGCAGGAGATCAATGGTCCATCAAACTTTAAGGACTGCTCTATCATTCACAGTCAAACTATAACCCCAGCAAGAACACTGTTAGAACCTTAAAGAAATGAAAAGCAGACTCACTCTTTTTCTTTGCACTCTTTTTCAACCTGAGTTAAGTACTCCCACTGAACATTTTCCGCTTTCTTTCTACACAAGATAAGAACTGTATCAGTCTTGATCTAAAGGAAAAGTAGGGAAAAAAAAAAGTATGGTTAGAGAATCATTATTTCCTCAGTTAAGTGTCCAGTAAGTGCAGGACTTATCCAGGTGCTAATACGTTATGAATAGGCTAGAGTCTGAAAACTCATTGAGGGGAAAGCGTATGTAAGTAAAATTTCAATACCTTCAACAACTGCTAAGTGCAACCCTCTCCCCAAAACACAGCACAACAAATCAGATGGTTAAGTGTCATCAAGATAAACAAGCAGGCAAGAACCTCATCACAAAGGCTTCTCTGACATACGACTGGAACCCTAAGATCCAGGAGAAGGGCATCCAGGCAGTTGTAGAGCAAGGAGAATGACTTCAGGATGAGCTGCTCTTGGTATGTTTGAAGAAAAGGAGTGTTTGAGTTTCAGTGATTAGAGGAAAGCACAGAGGGTCAAGAGAATGGGAAAGGAAGGTGTGACACATAATTCTTTCAACAATCATCAGTGTAGGGCTAGGGATTTAGCTCAGCGGCTCAAGCGCCTGCCTAGCAAGCATGAGGTTCTGAGTTCAATCCTCGGTATCAAAAAACCCCCCTAAAAAAACAAAAACAACCAAAAAAACAGTCGTCAGTGTAAATGCTAGGAGTCTTCTGAATAGCGCTTCACCTATGGGATTGTGGAAGAACACTGCAGTAACACAAGCTAACACTAAACTGCATTTAATGTTACTTTTAAGCTGCTATACGTGACACAGTAGAATACAATATATATGTACCAAATGTACTAAACTTCATTTATTTGAAGTGAACAGAAAATTGTGTCACTAGTGAAAAGTACGAATTAAGTTTTAAGAAAATTTCAAGCTGGGCATGGTGGTGTACGCCTGTAAACCCAGGTCTTGGGAGGCTGAGCCAGGAGAAGCTGCAAATTTGAGGCCAGCATGAGCCACAAAGTTAAGCACAAGGCTAGGTGAACTGCGCAGTGAGACACTGTCTCAAAAAGACAAAGACCAAAAGAGAGCTTTCAGTATTTTATAACCTCTACTATAAATAGGTTAAGTACTTAGGATTTCCTCTATGTGTTTAAAAAATATATGCACAGTATACCTAAGGGTTGCCATAATGTACATACCTTCTGCTCCCGTATTTAACACAATATTCTTACAACAAGCTGTTGCACAACATGAACTTGCAAATATTTTCCGTGAAGAGCCACACAGTAAACATTTTCTATCATTAGCCCCATGGATCTGCTGTACCTACTTAATTCTGCCATGCAGTATGAAAGCAGCCACGACCAACATACCAGCAGCGGTGATGTTCCAGTCACACCTTATTTACAGAACAGGCAGAGGGCCACAGTCTGGATACTCTAGCACAGTGGGTAAACTAATTCTAATTAGACAGTTATCTCAGTTCCAAATGAGTCATGTTCAATCTAATGAGGTACCACAAAATAATGATTAGAAAGAAAAAAAATCACTCACTTTTTTCGAACTGCCTTCCACTGAGATGGGTTTCAAAAGATTGTTCACAATCATAGAATAACTTTTCCCATTTAAGTTCTTTACCAAAAGATCAAATGACCTAAAAACAACAGTGAATGTATTATCTTTACAGTTCTCATTAAAAAAAAAAGCCAGCATACACATTTGACTATGCCAGATGATTTCTACACCCCTTCAAAGTAAGTATAAAACATATTTCTAGAATTTGAGGAGAATTTATCACCTGTACTGTAGAAAAGAATCCTACAGTAAGGCTGACTCCTAATGATCACTGTCATTCCCGTGATGAGAAAAACTCACCTTTCTGTGAAATACACCTGTACATTCTCAGCAGGAACTTGATGAACTCCAGTTAAGGTAATGTAGATTTTCACAAACTTGTCTGACTGATCCCAACCTACCAACAAAAAGGAAAAGATGAGTTGTAAGTTGGTCTCTCAAACCGTATCTGGAACACCAAGATGCATGTGGTTCATACAAAAACTCAATGATTGAGTCAAAATATGAAAGCCCAGTATAGAAATCAAAGTACAGATATGCCTTATTTAGTAACTGCTTGGTTTTCTGACTTTTACAGCTCTGTACCTTTTCTTTATAGAGCCTCAAAGTTGTTTTGCACAGTTCAGCTTGTTAATACAGTAATTTTTGCTGTCTTTTTTATGTTCTGTTATAGTGTGGTACCTTGGTTCAGAACTTAAATTTTTTCACAATTCTAGTTGCAAACCAAACTGGACAAGAACCAATTCAAATTCAGCGGTTAGGTTCAATGTTGACTTTATGGGAGAATGTGATTTGGTTCTTGTCCAAAATCGTGGAAGGAATTAAGTTCATTAACTAAGGAGCTGTGTAAGAGTTGTGCAAATAAAAGCAACATCATCATGTTGTGAGTTTCCTTTACCCACTGCTTTAGTCTGCATATTAGAATGTACATAGTATATATAGTTCCCCATTTGGCAAAGAGTTCATTAGCAGCGGGACGTTGGAAGACCTGAATTTGGTCATTAAATGGGGAATATCCATGTAAATATTTTAGATGAAGAAACTGATCTTCAAAACAATTAAGTACAAGTTAGAGATCTAACCTGGAAAACTCAGTTTCAAATTCAAAAAAAAATTTTTTTAATCAGTACTGGGGATCAAACTCACGACCACACACTTGCAAGGCAGGCACTTATGCCGCTGAGCTAAATTCCCAGCCCTCAAATTCAAATTTTTAACACAAAGCCTAGATCCTTTTTATTCCTTAGAATAAAAATATGATCAATATATTTTAAGATTAGCAATATACTTTAAGATTAGCTTGCCAGGTGTGTTCCCAGCACTTGGGAGGGTAAGAAGTTCACTGCTGGTGTGAGGTCAGCCCGGGCTAACAGGAAGTCCAAGGCCAGTCTGACCAGTATAGTAAGACCCTGTCTCAGAACAACAAAAGATAACTCATTTACTCTATATGGGAAATAATTCTGACTTACACCTAAATATTAATAATTCTCTACTATGCTGGATGGCTAAACACCCACACTGTTTAATTCTGTAATTTCCACTTCTCTGTGCAGTCCAAATTCAATTCTAGCTTCCTCAATTCCTCTCCAGGACAAGATTAAACACAAGCTTAAAAGACTCCCAATTCCTCATCAAAACTTATCTAGCTAACCTACTAACATCTAATAAACACCATTTCAGTACATACTGTCCCCCTGCAGTCTAACATAGATAAACTCTGTCAACATAAAACACACAAACCACAAAGCTTGAATCGCCAAGCTGGAGGGTGCTGTCTGCGGAGCAGAGGGCTAGATGGAGGGGCAGGTCATACCGTAATTACTGATTTTCACTGTGTATCCTGTTGTGATGGGAGCAACCACAGCAGCTGGTTTTTCACTGTCATGAAGTTCTGGTTTCTTTTGTGACTTCTGTTGCATCTTATTCTTTATTTCTGTTTCAATCTTGCATTTTTCAGCTGTCAGGGCATCACGAACTCTCTTCCTAGTAGCCTTTTCCAGCAACGTCTTTACCTCTTCTAGATCATTCTGCAGCTGTGTTGAAACAGAAGGAAAGTTAGCTATGACTTCTCATCTCAACTCACCAAAAGAAGAGCTAAAAATTAAGAAGTTCATCAATATTTTCCGGAATTGAATTGCATCTTCAGTTTTTTCCTTTAATTTACTGAGTTTTACACAATTCAACTCCAAATTTTTCAATTTTTTACTTTATCTGCCTTTACTTAGAACATTTTATTTGTAAGAAATCTAGAAGAGGGCTTGGGATTTAGCTTGGTGGCACAAGCACCTGCCTTGGCAAGCGGAAGGTCCTGAGTTTGATCTCCAGTACCAAAACAATAACAATGACAAAACCCAGAAACTTGGAAGATTTATAAAAGAACACAAAAATCTTTTTTAAAAAAGGGTTCAGAGATTTCCTTGTTAACATTCAGTGTAGTATAATAAGTTATTAGAAACTTTTTACTATTAAAGACCACTTGCGGGGCTGGAGATTTAGCTCAGTGGCATAAGCGCCTGCCTTGCAAGCAGGCAGTGGTGAGTTCGATCCCCGGTACCGATAAAAAGGAAAAAGACAAAAAAAAAAAAAAAAAAAAAAAAAAAAAAGACCACTTGCGTGTGGCCAAGGGCTATAGCTAGTTGGTGGAGATGAGTGCTCTACTTTCTTTTAATAACTGGTCCTCACTGATCTTCCCAGTCACATGCCTCACATAAAAAGTTTGAAGAGGACTGGGGATATAGCTCAGCAACATAAGCGCCTGCCTGGTAAGCGTGAGGTCATGAGTTTGATCACCAGTAACAACAACAACAAAAAAAAAAGTTTGAAGAAAAAAATTCAGCTTTTAAGAAAAAATCTTGTTTGGCATTTGTCAGTCTTACAGACAGAAGTCTGAGCTTGGCTGCATAGATGGGAAACCTGAGACAGATGTTCCAAAATGCAACGAACTCTTTAAAAACTAACTGAAAAGGTTATTGTGTTCTTCTCATGCATCACTTAATACGTAACCTGTAAGTCCTTCCTATTTTCTGGAGATAGAGCCAACATCTTATGAAAATTTAGTTAAAGATACTTAGAAAATTAATAGGTTTAAGTTCTTTTTTTTTTTTTTTTTAAATCGGTACCAGGGATCAAACTCACGACCGCCTGCTTGCAAGGCAGGTGCTTATGCCGCTGAGCTAAATCTCCAGCCCCTAGGTTTAAGTTCTTTTTCCTAATTATGCTGAGTTATAAAATCAATGCTCTCCATCTTTCCAAAAATCTGATTTCTGTCTTGATATGAGCAACATGGCTGAAAAAAATAAAACTATACAATAGCTCGACATTAAGTAAAAGGCTCAAACTGGGCACAGTGGCATGTGCCTGTAATCTCAGCATTCTGGGAGACTGAGGCAAAAGAAAAGCAAATTTACTAACAGAAAAACAGAAAATAAAATGGAATGCTAAAGAGGAGAGTTGAGCGTAGTAGTGTAAAGGGCGAGTTGTTCAATCCCCAGAAACTAAAAAAATATCCTTTAAACGGTAAGTACAGAATTTTAAAGCTGGTTTCTTAATGATCTAATGCAGTAACAGAAAACTACTTTTCTTTTACCTCATCTTTTATTATGTCATTTAATTCAAATGCCCTATTTCACCAATCTGTAACAAATTAACAGGGTATAAAAAAACAGTACTCAGTGCCTATCCCCAATTTCCCCTCCAATAAAACACATCTTACACAGACCTCCCTCCCAAACACTTCTTCTGAAGCTAGAAGCAATGTTTTAATTCACAATAATCTTTTTTTGTAACAGTTTCAAAAAATTCATGCAGATTCTAATGTGGACATAAACATGTAAAATTACTGTACTTGTTCTCTAAGCAGGGGTTTATTTAAAAAAATGAGTCAGGGGCTCAGCAGCATAAATGCTTGCCTGGCAAGTGCAAGTGCAAAGTTGTGAGTTTGGTACCAAAAATAGCAATAAAAAAAGTACGGTATAAACTAAAGCAACCTGCAGGTTGTAGCTCCTCCGTTTTTGTACCTGCAGACTTGAAAAGAGCAAAGGCGTACCATCAGTTCTGCACTTAGAAAAAGTCATCCTAGGGGCAGAGAGTACTTTCTGACCTAATCAGCATGCCGTTTTCCTGGCTTTCTTGGCATGCGTTTACCAATGGAAAGAATTGCCTTTTATTCCTACTCCATTATTTCTTAACTACTTCACAATTATTCACGAAGGGCTTTACCACCAAATTGCCCCCAAATGAGCAAAGAACCGTAACAGACTTTTCTGTAGATGTACAGACAGAAACCAAAAGGACAGAAGTTGTACACACCACTTCACACCTACCACGATGTACCATAAACACAAAAAAGCCCCAGAAACTCGACTCTTCATAATATTTCTTGTGGTTACTCTAAGATCCAGCAATTCCACTTTTAAGTCTATATCCCAGAGAACTGAAAACATGTTCACAGAAGACCTGTACACAAATATTCACAGCCTTATTCCTAACAGTCAACAAGGGGAAACAACTCGAGTGACCAACTGATAAAGAGATGAGCAAAATATACTATATTTGTACAATGAAATACTATTCGGCCATAAAAAAGAATGACATGATACATGCTTACACCACAGATGCAATGGAACACATTACACTAAGATAAAGGGGCCAAAAACCCAAAATGCCACACAGAGCATGATTCATTTAAAAGACATACCTACAACAGGCAAATTCACAGACACAAAAGATCTACTGGGAGCCAAGGGCTGGGGGTGAGGTGAGGTGAATGGTCACAACTGTCTTAACTGTATGAAGGACATTTAACCGGCTCTTACACTTTGGGGTGATGAAAATATTGTGAGGATGGCTGCACAACACAAAAAATCACCAAGCTCACACTTTAAAGTAGTTAAAAAGATAAATTTTATTTCAAAACCAAACGGAGGCGGTCAGTAATGTTTACAGAATGTTACACCCATAGTAAGGTCACCCAAAAGTCTCCACGGGGCACGTGGTACCCAAAACTAGTTCCCTACTAGACACTCAGACCAACACTTCAACACAAATCCTGAATTTTTCTTTACTTAATTTTTTTAAACGTTAAAAAAAAAAAGCAAATTAAGCATTTCCCAGTACTTGTTATTCTAATCGACTAACATTTTCTACAAGGCAAATCTTAACAGATCCTCAACACTGAGTAACAAACACTACAGTATTTGCCATCCTACAAGGGCAAGGGAAAGTGCAATGCCATTATTATTCCCATTTTATCGCTGAGCAAACCAAGTCTCCAATAAAGTTAAGTCAGCCCACCCTCAGAGCTTTCAGAACTAATAACTACTACTACAACAACAACAACAAAAGCTGCTCAATGTCCTACTAACAACGAACTTTCCGACTGCTTGTTTTAAGTCAGCATATAGTAGACTGCTGTTCGCCAAGCACTGTCTCAAACGTTTGGAATAAATACCTACCCCAGCGACCCTGAGAAGCGGGCGCCACGGCGGCAGGAAGAGGAGCTCGCCCGAGACGGCACGGCTCCCGGGGCAGAGCCCTCGCCACCGCCCGCGGACGCATGGGCCTGAGCAGCGGTCCGGACCTCAGGACGCTTCCCGGCTCCCGCCGCTGGAAGCTAACGGAAAGGGCCTCAGGAAGGCGAGGGGGACCGGCACCGCCCGGCCGGCAGCGCCTCCAGCACAGAGAACCCAGATCGGCCCGCGGGCCGCGCCGGGCGGCGCCGGAGAAGGTCCGGACCCCTTACCTCCTCCAAAACTGAAGCCATGGTCGGGCAGTGTCGGACCTCAAGCCCAGACTGCAGGCAGCACGCGAAGACAGGAACCGCCGGCCACAAAACACCCTCCACAAGCGTGGATCTCACCAGCGAGAGCCGCTAGGAGTGCGTCCGACCTGCGCGATGCCGCCGTCCGCCCTCCGCACGCGGCGACTCTGGAACCTTCGCTAGGCCGCTGCCTCCGCCCACCCCGAGCACCGCCGGCTGCACTCGGCCCCGCCCCGCTGCGCTTGGCCCCGCCTACCGAGCCTCCTAGCAACGCCTAACTCTCGCGATTGCACCAAGCAGTTCGAGAAAAGTGACGCTTTTTCCGTCCCAGCCGGTAACCGTGCGCGTCCAGTAGCCCCGGGTTTGCCGCGGCTGCGCACTCACAACCGGAAACCGCTACTTTATTTCAGCCCCGGAAATAACGTTCAGAGCTTCCGAGTGCAAGTCGGAAGTTGGGTAGAGAGACCGCCGATTCCGTCCTCCTTAGCACACCAGGCTAGGCAGGCAGCCATCTTGTCTAAGGGTGTTCTATGAGCCACCGAGAGAAAACGACAATAAAGGGAGAGGGAACAACCTAGTTATGTTAAAGTGGGAAAAAACGAACATGTTAGTCAGTGGAAGATTCTTGGAGCTAACAGCTTCTTAGGCGCGATGGAGACGTCACTCGCTTAGCACTTCCGACGTGGTGACGTCACCGCTCGCCGCAGTAGAGGGTGAGCGGCTTGCGTCAGCGCTACTGATACAGAGCTGCCCTTTAAGTGTTAAAACTTTCTTTTCCTTTGCTTTCACCTCTTTAACGGGCCTTTCTGTGAGAGTGTACGCGTGGTTGGATTCGATATGTCAGGCAATGTATCCAGGCTTCTTGCAATTGTTCTTTCCTGAAAACCCCATTTTTTAGATTTTATTTTCTGGCCTCATCAAGACGTTTACAACGCAGCTGAAACGTAACAGCCTTGAGAAGTCAGGTAACCAGTATGCAGCTCTACGGATCAACGATTAGAATCAACAAATCAGAGGAAAGAAAAACTGGAAAAAATCAGACTGACCCTTATCGCAGTAAAAAAAATCGGCAGTGCCCTACATACGAATGATCACAACACACAGAGTGACATTAAGGGGAAGAAGCGAGACAAAAAGAGTTCGTATTGTTCAGTTACATTTAAATGAAGTTAAACCAGCAAGCCTGGGGCTGGGGATTTAGCTCAGCGGCATAAGCACCTGCCTTGCAAGCAGGTAGTCGTGAGTTCGATCCCCGGTACCGATAAAAAAATGAGAAAGACAAAAAAAAAAAAAAAAAAAAGCCTATACGCAAACGAATTAAAGATGACCAGTCTTTCCTGGAGTAGGGAAGACAATGACAGATGTTACCACCAGGGGGCATTTCACATTCAGGTAATCTTGGTGAGGATACTGGTTATAGATGAGTGTGCACTTTTTATATAAGAAATTTTACTGAGCTGTAAAATTATATTTGTGCAGTCTTTTTTGTAGATTATACTTAAGGGACAATAGGGATTTTTTTTTCCTGAGGTGATAATATTACAAGCTCTGATGGGAGGGTGAGGAGGAAAGATTACTTGAGCCCACAAGCTGAAGACCAGCACACGTAAGTGGGTCCCGGCATGAATGAAAAGCTGTGTATTTTATTATATGTAAGTTTATGCTCTATTTTTTTAAAAGAAGTGTCCAACAAGTAGCCTGAAATTAAGAACATAATTGGAACAACTATCTCATTGCACTGGGTAAAACCGCCTTAATCACTCAGGCCAAAGGAGCATGTTGAGTCTTCAATATCAGCCAGAGCTGTCTTAATCTTCAAAATGTGGCAGGAATCAAACCACTTCTCATGTTCAGGCTGTCACATTTCCTTCTTCCCCTTTTCAGCTCTAAGAACGAGTGGTTTTATTATTCCTTGAACCCACTGGTGTTGCTCATAGCTCCAGGTCTGTATTCTGTTCTTCCTTTCTGCCTAGAATTTTCTTACAGGTCACATAGATCTTTTCCTTACTGTCTTTAGGTCTCTAAAAAGTGGGGAGGATCATAAGACTATATTAATCAAAGTTCAGTCAGAGAAGCAGAATTAGTAGGAGAGAATAAATAAGGAGTTGGTTTACACAGTGGTAGGAATTGGCTAAGTAAGTCCATACTCAGGCAGAAATGGAAGATCACAGACAGGCTGTGCCCCATGAACACTGGTAGCTTTTATCCATAAATCAGGGAGAGAACTTGACTTCCCAGGTGGGATTCCATTCTTCTCCTGAAAATTTAGGTGATGCTTTTAAGACCTCCAAATTGATTCAGTCAGGGCCATGTAGATTATCCAAGATAGCTCTCTTACTCAGTGAACTGATTAGAACTTTGAATATTTGTGCAAAATGTCTTCACGACAAAATTTAGTGTTTGATGACAGGAGTATAGAGCAACAAAGGATGCGTATCAAAAACCACTGTACCAATTTTAGCCTCAGCAGACTCAACACTTCTCTCTACATTGCCACCTTTTCTTTATACACTTTACCACTGAGATTGCTTAATCATTTTCCTGTTACAGTGGTTGTTCTTAGTTGAGTGCAGTTGTAGATATTTTGCTCACTTCTCTCTCCATGCATTTGGCAATACCTGGAGACATACTTGGTTGTCACAAATATGGGGGAAATACTACTGGCATTCAGTAAGCAGAAGCCAAGGACACTACTAAATATTGTGCAATACAGCCATCCCAAAAAAGAATCAAGGGGCCCAAAATGTCAACAGTGCTGAGGGTAAGAAGTGATATTTGAGTGTAAGCTCTTCAGAGGCAGATTCTCTTAGTTCACCGGGTTACAGGTAGCTGAGTTAGAAATATTATAGGCAGTCAGGGCTGAGCCCTCAAAGGAGCCAGAGCAGAAAACCAGATACCTTGCAGCCTTGGAGGAGACAGACTCCATCTGCTGTGAGCCAGCTCTCAAGACAAAAGGCAAAACAAATGCAACCACACCCTATGTATAAATATTAGGGATTGATATTTAAATACTTGTCTGGACACCTTGAGGAAGCCAGAAGCCACTAATCTAATCCCTTTACCAGTGAAGGTTCCCACTTGCTATGTAACAGGCTTTCCTATTGGATCCTAATTTAATCAATCTTTCCTGAGCAATTAGACTCATATCTTACTGGTTCCATAGTTCTGTCCCACCTCATGCCCATCAGCCTTGAAAGTTCCCATTTTCCCTCACCTTTGACAATGCCTCACCTTGTGGTTTTGCTCTATAAAAATCCCTGGGAAAGAGAGTGTTTGGCAGCCCACTCAGGACCACTTCTGTCTCTCTCCTGAGAAGCTTTGGTTCTCTTAATAAATATATTCTGCGCTTAACCTCCATTGTTCCATTCTTCGATTTTAGAGAACAGGAACTCATACCGGACATCTAGTAGGTTGGGAGTTGCATTCGCCTATATCAGCCTCATTTTCACTACGTCTCACAAAAGACTGCACAGTAGGCAATCTGTGTATGTGCTTTAATGGATTTAATAGACCAGATAATCCATTTTTAACACATCCCTAAATGATTATCGAGGAAGTTGTGAAACAAACCCTCAAAGTTGAGTAAAACTGATTAACTTTATATTGTTTCTACAACTTATTAGCCATATATTAGGGCTATTTAAAATCTCAGAAGCCTCTGTGTTCCTCTGTATAAATGGGACTAGAGTACCTAATAACAGTGTTTGGAGAGGTCTGGGAATATAGCTCAGTGGCACAAGCTCCTGCCTGGCAAGCACAAGGTCCCGAGGTTGATTCCTGGTACCAGCCCCCCCCAACTGTGTTTGACAATACAAAATACGAAAACAAACCAAAAAACCCACCATGGCACAATTTAAAAAAATATACTAGGTATATGTGATAGGATTATTTCCAAAAGATGAAAAGTATTTCCAAAAGATGAGAAGTATAAAACAAAAAGAGGCCTTTATTCTGAGAACATGGAGAGAGATGACCGACTCCCCCCAACACTGGAGTCCAGCGATCTCTCCAGCGGACACGTGCCGTGGGGGGTATGTAAGTAGCCTCGGTTTGGGGTGGAGCCTAAGGGGGCATCAGGGATGCACGGGTAGCCCATTGGTCCTAGGTTTCCCCGACCATAGGTAAATTCCCTGAAGATGGCGGCACAGGTAAATTCCTAGGGGCGGGGGAGATAGGGGCTTTCTGGTTCTGGTCGAGGCTTTCCTGGCTATAGTGTCCTGTCTGGGCCAAAACCCTTTCAATATGTGCTATAAGTGTTAGCTCAGGTTTTATAACAACATCTGTGACTGTGCCTTAAACCTCATCATGTCACAAAGCTGCCCTTTTCCAAAGATACTTTTCTTTTTCCAGCACTCCTGCTCTCTAACTGCCACATTATACATATTGTCCTTCAACATCTCACTTTGTTCCCTCCTGGCCTGTCATGCTCGATTCATGATTGTCAGTTTTATCACTCTTTATACCTGAACCATCCCCTGGCCCCTTTGTCATTCTAAAACACCTACCCTGCAAGACTCCACCTCTGCTTTGGTTTCCTATAAACATGACATGATTACCCTCATTCTCTCCCAGTTTTTCTTTTTACCAGCATTTAAAACAGTTCAGATCTTCCATCCATATGAGTCAACAAAACAAATTCAATTTGGCTTCTCTCTCTAGCTGTAGTCTCTGCCAGTCCATATGTTCACCATACAAAAGGAAAACTCCCTGACCTGCTGCCATTCTAATTGGGCACAGTGGATCCCCGAAGTGAAGAAATAACCCACACACCTCTACCTTGCACCCTGAGATAAAACTAGTGATGAAAACTAAATATGAAAAGCTAGAGGTAGAATGTGGCACCACAACCACATATACATGCGGCAAATTGTCTAGTTCTAGACCTCAATGGAGTTGAAACCTAGAGCCTGTTTTTCCTATAAAATAAGACTCCCTAAAATCAATAGAACAAAACTTCTAGCTTTTGCAGTACAGTTTGAAGATATGCAGTGAGAGTGTGAAGATCGCTTTTTTCCCCACCATGAACCAATTCTAGGTTCAAAAACTTGAAATTGTATGATTTTTAAAAATTTAAATACTGTACTTGTCATCTTTATTTGGCTGAGCCAGTTCTTCCAAAACCTGAACTTCCCAGCTGGTGTTCTTGCCACATTTCTTTGCAAGTAAGTGTTTAAAAGATTTTGCTTAGTCTTCCCTTGATAGTAATCAGAGATTTTGTGGAAGTAGTATTTCAGCAGAGTGTGGGGCGTAATCCCAGCACTTGAGAGGATGAGGCAGGAGGACTGCCACCAGTCTGAGGCCAGCCTGAACTGCATAGCAAAACCCTGTCTCACAAAGACAAAAAATAAAATATTTTAAAAACCCAACCATTTCAAAAAAAAGATAAAATCAAAGTTGTCATGAAAATACAACTATATGTATACATGACAAATAGTTTAGTTACCTCATTAGCAGGTGAGGATATTAGTTAGGATGTTAAAACTGTTTCAAAGTATTTATAAGCAACTTCATGGAACACTAGTACAGCTAGTGTAAAATGCTAGTACAGTTGCAAAGTTAGGTACAAACTGGCTAATACCCTATGGAGTAATAAAGTATAAACTTTGGAGTTATCTGTTCCACTCAAACTAAGGATTTACATTCTACTAGACAAAAACTATACAGATAAAGTACAGGGCCTTTAACCAGGAGTGAACAGCAAGATGCACACTGCAATCCCCTAGTCCTTGGTTTGACATTGAAGGAAGATGTCACTCACCTTTTTACCTTGTTTTCATTTTCGGCAATTTTCCTTTCAAAATTAAGTTCTTTGCAGGGTGTAGTGGCACATGCATGTGATTCCAGCCCTTGGGAGGCTGAGCTGAGGCAAGAGGATCACTGTGAATTGAAGGCCAGCCTGCACTACATAGTGAGATCCTGTCTCAAAAAAAAAAAAAAAAATCAGCCTTCCTGCCTCCCTCAGATATTGTTCATGTCAGACCCACTCACGACCTCCTATAGTGGACATTTTCTGAATAATTTTGACTTTTATTTTTCCTTTAAAATTTCTCATTAAAATACCACATGGGCCAAATATAAGCGGCCTGCACTCTAGATTTGAGCCACCGTCTGTAATTCTATGAGCTGATTAATATCTTTAATAACTCTGAATCCTAACAGTTCTAAGAGGAGCTGGCTAATCTCTTAGCTTTCACTTAGGTTCCATGGACCCCCGGCACACCATATACCAGTGCAACTCTCAAAGTTGGGGGGGAGAGGACTGTGAGAGGGTGGGAAAATAATTAAAAGCAGAGGTCAGGTGGAGCCCCTTCTCCTGATGGGAGGAAAGGCACTGCTCAAACATAGAAGTGTATTTATACACTCAGGAGGAAGATGTCAGTCTCCTCCCCTCTGCCTAGCAACTTGTTTCCTGGCTGGCCTGGGCACCTTGCCTCTTCACAGCTGAACAGCTTGTTTACTGGCTTGCTTTGAGCTCTTCCCATTCTGAACCCACCCCTTACACCAGAACAAAACATAAATGCGGGAAGAGACATGTATTGGGGTCCTCTCTCCACTTGTAGGCAAAACTCTGGAGCTCTGTTTAACTCTGGAGGACAGCATTACCCACTTTTATATTTCTTGAAAGGTTAGCAGCAGCCACTGGACCCAGAATTATCCAATTAGAATTCTGCAAGAATTTGGACTTAGACACTGAGATGGCTACTCCTGTAGGGAGCGGCACGACCGCCCCATCGTTGCCTCCCCATCTCTCTCCTATGGGCATATGATGCATCTGCCTACATTAACCATAATCCTCTCCTGCTTACATCACATACCCAGACGTGACAATGACCCTGTTGTATTCATCCCCGTAGCCTCTTCCTGTCCCACCAGCCCGCCCTTGGCCTATAAAAGATGTAATCACTTCCTGAATAAACGAGACTTGATTGGAATCCTCATCCTGTCTCCATCTCTGTCTCCCCCGTTTCTATTTCATCCCTGTTCCCCCTCCAGGTACACCCCACAGATTGATCCGCAGGCTGGATCATACTCCATCTCTGCTGGTTATTTGAGAGGACTTGTAAAGTTGGTATTCATGTATGTAGAGCAGAGAAAACTTTTTTCCCGAGAGAAAAATGAAACAGATAAGGATTATCTGAGAAGACACACAGGAGAGCCATAATGGAAGTGGTGGTCTTATTTTCTGGTGTCATTTCAGGCTTTCAGGCCCAGTGTTTGGGTTTTGAGACCCTCGCTACAGGTGCCTCTAACGTTCTACATAACTACAGTAACTGCCTTTAAAGGGGTTTTTCTTTTTACTTGCAACCAAAGAATCTCAATAGAAAGAGCACAGCAGTTGGCAGTGCTGCTGTCCACGGCATAATTTTGCAGGGCACTACGGAGAAAATGGTTTCTTTCCCTGGATGCTTTCCTCACAAGTTCACTGAAGCCTAGTGTCAGAAGAGGTGTCAAGACAAAACACGAAGTTCAAGCGATTCAGAGTAAAGTCAACTTGAAAAAAAGCAGACACATATATGGACTTTGGAACAAATGTTTATTACGGCTTAATGGGGCCAAAGAGGCAAACACAAAGCATCAGAAACATCACTGGCTCACAAAAACAGGCACCTTGTTACTTTCTTGGTTGCATCTGTTTATTCACAAGGCTTCATTCACACATAAAAACAAGATACTAATCCAGTTCAAGTTCATAACAATTATAAAAGTAAACATTTGTTGGGACAATGTACAATAAATTGCACTTTTCTTAACAAGCATTACATTTACATTTATAGAGTGTACTATACATAATACATGGAATTGTGGAAACATCTACTTGGTGTTGATAGAAGAGGCTGATACCTAATGTTTCAATTAGTTAATTAGCACTGTTTGTACTAATCAACTTCTTTATTCTACAACCTTATTACAGAAAATGTAGGTAAAATCGTAAGTTTCATAAAAATAGATAGTACAGAATTTCTACTACCTCCTTAGCAAGGGAGAGGTAGGAGTTGGAAGAAAGTGGGCCTGACTGGGAAACTTTTTCCTCTTGTTTGAATCCATGCATTATGCAAATTACCAAAAATAGAGAAACTGATGAAAAAATCTATTGGGACATCTTAGATCCTGGGACCATCTCCAGCTTTATTCATGTGCTTTCATGGTACCAGTCTTTTGATGTATTTATAATAATCTCACAATTCCGTTTCCTTTATCTTATTCCATATATAATATATAGTTATTAGTTACAGCTCATGGAAAATTTTTACATGTTAAAAATCAATAGCTCAGTGGCACAGTGCCTGCCTGGCAAGCGTGAGGTCCTGAGTTTGAGTCCCAGTCCGCCCACCCCCAAATCAATTTCCAGTGGAAAAAAAAAAGTAACTTAAAATGTTTATTTTCTTCTCAATGAATCATTTTTCTTAAACTTTTCAGAACACAACTAAGGGTACACCAGAGATAGAAGTAGAGAGAATGGGGTATATTGGAAATATTTTTATTTAGTTATTTATTTTTAGTTTTTTGAGACAGGGTCTCACTATGCAGTGTAGGTTGACCTTGAACTGACTATGGCCTCAAACTCATGGCAATCCTCCTGCCTTTCCAAGTGCTAGGACCACAGGCATGCACTACCATGCGCAGCTGAAGATATTTTTATTAGCAGGTCGAAAATTCATTTGTAGGTAAGACTGACATACAGTTTGTAAGATGGAAACCTGATATACCAGACAGCTGACTGTAATCACTAAAATCTCATAAACATCTACGTTTTGTTTGCAACTCAAGATGGGCATCACTGTTGAGGTGCAGTCCACAATGTGTCATTTTGTAGATTTTAAAAGGTAAGGAAGTTGCTAAGGTAAAGACCCTTAATTGTACAGACAGCACTCATACAGGAAGAATGTTGCCACACAGTTCCAGCTAAGCATGGGGACTTGAGAGTTGTACTCATACACCTGGTAGCTGGAAACAGGCTGCAGAGCTATTGTCCAGTCTTCTGGTTTTGATCACTGTGTTCTGACATATCAACATGTATTTGGCTGTATCGTATCAATATACAAAAGAGGCAAGGAATTCTATATAAAATATCGCTAATCACACACACACAAACAGAAAGCTAAGCGCTCAAATCATACAACAGAATTTGATCATTCTCCCATTTTCTTGTACTGCAGTAAGACAATCAAAGCTATTATAGTGTTTGTAAGGATAAATTATATAATACAATCATCTTGCTAAATAATTAAGTGTTCTTTCCTGGAGGCAAAACGGTATTTTTAAGTTTTCTCCCTACTTAACGAAGTCCTCGAATCATCCTCCTTAGTGTTTGATGCACAGTGTTGGTGAGACAGTAGACGTGTAGCTACAGTAGCTACAGTAAAGGAAAGCTCAGTCCCTTGCATCAGTCATGTGTGGATTTTTATCCCGGATGACTGACTCCTCTAAGGGTCTAACTCTTCCCTCCTGTGTCTGCACCTTTGCATTGTCTCGGGTTCATCACTTCTGCCATGAAATTAAGCCACTAGTTATTAACTAGAAAATATCTAAGGAAAATTAAAAAAAAAAGAAAATATCTAAGGAACATGGAGGAGTTTGAGAAAAAATAAATAATATACAGTAGGAAAGGATGAGCTTAAAAAACAACCCAGACAAGATAAACACTATTAAATATCCCAATATCGGTATTTGACCAAGAAAATTTAAGAAACTTAAAGAAGAAGAAATTATTACTAGCTAGGAGAAAAGAGAATCTTCATCATATAGAAACATAGGTCATAGGCCTGTTTGATATTTCTACTAATGTTCGTGATACACATTCATATACAGAACATTAGGTAACTGAGAACTTTGTGTTAAATTATATGTACCTAAATATAACCAAATTCTGATCTGGGAAGCTACCAAACATATGCACTGTGAAATTCAGCTCACTTTCTTTCAGCTTTAAAAGAATGTGTTAAATAAGACCCTCAAGATACAAAAGATAATGAACTGAATTACTGAATAAAGTTGAACTATAATCACTTTATTATATGGTATTTAAGGAAAAGAGAAGTGATCACTTTTCAGATATTACAAATATTAGATGTTTAAAGGAATGTTTTATGTAATATACATTCTAGGAAAAGGATGAGAATCAATGGAATGTTTGGGAATCGATATTTGGCTGGCTAATTCCTTTCTAAAAGTAATTCAAGACGAGTTGCGATTCTCAAATGTGTCCCAAAATAAGTGAAATTAAAACTAGTACTGCTTTGTGTTGGGCTGCATGAGTTTTCGAACAGACGTCAAAGGACACGTGGTTTGGAACACAGCCTATTAAAACACACTGTGTGACCCTCAGAGCACACGCCACAGTTTTCACTTTCTGTTGCTACTGACTCAAAGGCAATGCAGTAAGGGAAAATTTAGACTAATAGTATGCCGATATATACATACATAAATATGACTGGAGTTAGAAAGAAAAAGTACATACGGCTCTTATCTTTTGTAGAAGTTAAAATAAAACTCAACATTGATAGCTTTGTCAATTTTCAGAGTCAGGCGTGGTGGCACACGCCTGTAAACCCAGGACTTGGGAGGCTGAGGCAGGAGGACTGTTCTGAGTTTGAGACGAGACTAGGCTACAAAATGAGCTCAAGGCCAGCCTGAACTGCACACAGAGACCCTATTTCAAAAAGACTAATAAGACACTTTTAGAATGTATTACCTTGGGATTTTCTTTAAAGAGAAAAAGAAAAAGGACTACAAAATTGAGCCAACTCTGTAGATAAAGGCTTGACCTGAAGCCATTATTTTCTCTCTCAACAACAATATAAGGAAAACTATGTAATGAGGCATTCTGTGGAATCTGAGAAACCAAAAGGGTCTCCCTGTGGTCCTATGTGTTTACAACATAAAAGTGTGTTTTTAATTTAGCTGGCCATTGGAAAAGGTGATTTGTACAGGGTTTCTTGAATTCAAGGTACCAGTAAACTTAGTATAGTAGATGATTTATAAAAATGAATGCCAAGATATAATTTTCTAGTCATTATATATTACAAAAAAATTATAGCTTATCCAAACTGCCATGTAGGGAATGTTAAAGTCAACACAGACACTTGGACTGCCGGATTTTTTCCTATTTGATAGAAAGGAAGTTATGATGAAAGATATCAAAAATAACAAAAGTATTACTTTGAAAAATATAACACATACCAAAAAAACCTAATCAGTTTGACGAATTGTAAAAACAGATGAAGATTTCACTTTTTAGAATTTAAAGATAATTTAGAGGAAAGTATCTATCATGAGCAACTTGTAGTGTGTCCCCTTGGGGTTATATAAAGGCTGTTACTTGATTCTAACTTCTAAGAATGTGTTAGAGTTGCAACAGATGGCACAGAGAACCATTCTGGCACTACAGAGTATAAGATCCTTTGCAAACAGTATTTGCCATTGAAGCCAAGAATGAGTATCAATAAGTGTTACGGTAGCTAAAGTTGTTTGGTGAGAAAAGACTAGATATGTTTTAGGTTTGTTTTTTTGTTTTTTGTTTTGGTAGCAAGGATTAAACTCACGACCTTGTGCTTACCAGGCAGGCACTTGTGCCAGTGAGCTAAATCCCCAGCCTAAGACCAGATATCTTTTGAATAGCTATAAATGGAAAGTTAGTTTTGCTCTTACTAAACAATTTTCTGCAAGTACTATTTGTATAGTCGTGTTAAATGTAATTTAAAAAATACTTTGGCCAATTTTTAAACAATAGGTTCACCTTTTCTTGAGGCATTTCTATAAAGGTTCTTATATTCAATCAAATATGTTACAAATATATTTGTGTCTCTTCACCTACAGGAACGAAGGACATATTTTTAGGGTGCTAGAGATACAAGAAATGTTCCCTAAATTTAAACTAAGATAATGTAAAGCTGACCTCAATTTTCATCTCAACACTATGTCTTTTGACAAAATTACCAAACATTCGCGTTTCTTTAGCAAGTATGCCAACATCAGAAGACATTACTTTTGTCCCTGGCTCACCAGTGTATTCCATTCTCAGCACAGGTCTGGGCCTTGCCAGACTTCCGGTGCACAGGATCTAAGTCTACAATTCATGATCGCACCTGTCACTCTGCAGTTGCCGGAAGTCAGACCCGTATTTGTGCACAGGCATGCTAGGAACTTCCAAGTCCCATGTGAGTTCTTAAAACGAGCTGCTAGAATACCACAGCTGAAATGGTTTTATTGTGTGTTTCTCAAGATCTCAATTCTGTTCACACAGCGTTCTCAAAAGCTCATCTATCCCACACTTCTTGGCACTTTGTTTCCAGATGTACCTGACATAAAATGAAAATAACCCAAAATCTCTTTGGAGACTTTTCAGCCCCTGGTCTGTTCTTTCCTTGGGACAGGAGTGTTGCTACCCTGGGAATCAATTTCAGGATGAAACCTGACAGTGGTCATGACCAGCCCTACCGTGTGCTTTGTCTGAAAAAATCCTGGAAAGTTAAAGAAGTTTAGTGTAAAAAAAAAAAAAAATGTTTTTCCATGACAAAGATCTTATCTCTTCTACCTTACTATAACAGATGTCTCCAATTTTATGTAAGATGAAAATTATTAGGAATAATTAGTTCTAAATAAAAAACATTTAGTTCTGAATTACTAATTTCCAACTAAATACCAGGCATATAAAGTAATGTGCAATACTATGATGGATCTGAACATGGCCTTCCACTGAAGAAGCTGGAAAACAGGTGTTCGACATAAATCAGGTCAATTGAACGTCCCTTTGAAAAGCGTCATGGAAGAGAGAGCTTCTGGAAGATTCTGGTTTGCTTTCTGGCCTCCTTCAAAGGGACCCCAGGAAGAATCCTAGGTTTTCGTGTTTTGATCGTTGTGCTCTTGGGCTTGAATGAGGCTGGAACTATGTGCTCTCCTTGGGTGGCTGGGTGGCCTGTGGTGGCTGCAGTGGCTGCGTGCCCGTGGCCGTTTTAATAGAGTTCAGGGTTTTGCTAAACCAAGAGTTTTTTGCAGCTTGGATTTCATTCATAAGGGCTCCTCTCTGATGTTCAAGTTCCTAATTAAGGAAAGAAAGTCATTTGAGATATATATATATATATATATATATATACACACACATATATATTTTCTGTCTGCTAAAAGAAACTGAGAATATAACTTTCTGGAATCCCTGGATCTATGCAGCCAGTTTCCCACCCTCAAAACCTAGGAAAGATTTAACTGACCCCTTAATGGACAGAAAAATTTTAGAGCTAAAACAGTTACCACTGAAAGCAGACTCTGCTTTTTCTGAAAAGTAAAATCAAGTTACTATATTTTTTTTCTCCTATAATGTAGGTAAAAATTTAGATTTCAGAAGCCAACCTGTGCCCTCCCATGAGCCAGCCACTGTGCAGGCTGGAGACAAGAAGGAGCCCCCCACGCCCCAGCAAATGGCTCACTGGGGGAATCACAGGCTGAGACAATAGCCACTGAAGTAAAAATACAGCGGAACGCTTGTACTGTTTGATTGACTTTGCAGGCCTAAAGCTGGTAGTCTGAGCATTTATTCAGAGGATAACAGTATGCAATATAGCAACTATGGGGGATTTCCTTCTGTCTTGTATTTGAAATCCAATATTGTTCTCTCTGTTTTGTTTTGTTCTGTTTTATCATTTTGGTTTATTCCCTTAGAAAAAATTTAGGTTTCAGTTGAAACCCAAAATAACATATTCAAAACCACAAAAAAAAAAAAAAAAAAAAACAAAAAAAACACATGGATGTAGTGAGTTTTTACAGTTAGTATAAAGTGTCCCCATTCCAAAGACAAGGCCTTGGTTCATGAAAACACACAGGGCTCCGATCACACACGAGTGAAGGTGGCCGCACGACACAGGTCGGTGTCACGGCAGCACATGGTGGTGGGTAGGGGTCACTGGGGAAAGGAAATGGGGAACAGCCCACTAGAAGCCACAACTCTGTTTCTGGTTATGTTATTTTCCCATATGGAGAGGGAGAGAGCGGAAAGTGATACATGAAAAAAAATCAGCTGAAGATAAAAAAGGTACTTGTAAGAAAAAAAACAGGTATTGCCAATGCTCAGCCGTTGAAATAAAGATAATGGAGCAAACTGGCCTTTCGCTTTCAGTATCAGCCACCAAAGTGACCAAAATCAAAAGAGCATATGCTTAAATTCTCATAAGATACAATTTTACTGATTAAAATTTCATTTAATAGGCCAAGCATGGTGATGCACACCTAATTTCCCAGCAACCTGGAGGCTGAGGCAGGAGGACTGCCATGAGTTCAAGGCCAGCCTAAACTACATAGTGAGACCCTGTCTCAAAATAACAAATAAGTAAATTTTTAAAAAATACATGGTGTAAAATGCGATTTTGCGGGACTTTAGTGGACAAAAAATATATACAACTAATATAGTCAACAGGGTTCTGACCTAGCTGGACGTATTATAAACTACCAAGCCAGCCTGAACCATGACTGCTGGCTTCTCCTCACTGACCGTCGGTCAGCTCACCAACCTGGATTTTACACTTGGCCTCGACCAGCTGTAGTTTAGTTTGTGCCAGTTCCAGCTCCATCTCCCTCAGCTGCTTCTTGAGCGAGTCCTTCTCATCATCTGCTTCAATTCCCTGGTCGTCTCTGCTTATGACTGCCAGTTTCAAAGCACCTTCCTTGCTGAAGATGTCACTGCAGTGTTTGCATGCCATCATCTTACCCTGAAATGCCCAAAAGACAGGATCAACATCAAAGTGTCTTTCACAGGATAAATCATTTCCTAAACTAATGCACGACTTGGCCAGGGGTGCAAGGTTTGAAACCAGGGCCTTCATGCTGACCTATGTCCCACCCCCTGAAGTTCCGAGACAAGTTCTTGATAACTTGCCGAGGCTGGGTTCAAATCTGCACAGCTCTTGCCTCAAGCTCCCAGAGTGCTGGGATTACAGGTGTGTGTCACTACGCCTAGCTGATAGGATTTTTTAAAGATACTGCTTATTGCCATTTGATGCAGTCCCATTTCGGAAGCCATTTTTTTTGTTCTGCAATTAAAATGGTTAGAGTCAGCACAAAACTCAACTACCCAAGACAGTTGTTCCTTTTTCCGTAAGTATCTTTAGAAAGACACTGGTGGGGGATTTAGCTGGCAAACCTGAGGTTGTGAGTTCGCTCTTGGGTACAAAAAAAAAAAAAAAGAAAAGAAAAGAAAGACCCTAGAAACATTTCTGCTTGTCTTTGCAACCTGCTCTGGAAATTTCTACTACCATTCCTCTTACTAGGCACCAAGCCCTGCACTCTGCCCTCTACTTGTACCGTTTCATTTACTCCTCATGATTCTCACTGCATTTTATAAATGAAGTAACTCAGTTAAAGGAACTTGTGTACAGTAGACGGAAGGTCATCTCACCTGACTTGTTACCCTTACAACAAAGTACTTGTCTTATTGTTCAACCTTAAACAAATGCTTTTCAGTGTTTAAAATAATAGAAGCAACTCCACTACTTTTCCCAATTGCCAATCAAGCAACCGACACTGAACAGCAGCAATGCTTCCAACACAGGGATGCTACTGTTTTCCTAAAACACCTGAAATTACAAATGGGGATGGAGATGGGAATGTAGCCAGCAGTGCCCCTTGCCTAGCAGACACAAGGCCTGGGTTCCATCCCTAGCACTATAAAAATTAATTAATTTTAAAAACTTAAAACTTAGAAAATATACTACATGCTGTTTCTATTTTGATGCTTTACTGTTGAAAGTTCAATGTGTCCTTAACCATAATTAAACTTCTCTCTTCACACATCCATAAAATAACTCTGTACCAAGCTGATTGTCACTGTGCTTGGGTCACTCCATCATTGAGTCCTAAAGATTTGAGTGTCATCTATTCATCAGCTACGCCTGCATCAATTTCTCCTCTGACATGTCCAAGATTTTCCCTTCCAAAGCCCAAATACCTAAGTCACCTAGTCTGTTTCTACTGACCTTTTTCTTATCATGTTTGTCTCATGCTTTACATTCCTAATATTCATCAGACATGTAAAAAAAACACATACCATTGTCTTAGATTCTGAAAGAATAAGTAGCCCAGTTCTGACACAAAATACTACAAATATCTGCTGTATATGATAGCCATTCGACTAGGTCCAAAATGATTAAAAGTTTAACAAGCTTTGTAAGCAATTTTATTAGGCTGAACCAGATAAGGAATAGACTAATATCATAAGAGGAAGGCAACACTGTGCCAGAGAAATTAACATGCAAAACTGTAGCACCTTCTGAGAACTTAAAGGATCCAGAAAGGCCAAGAAGAGTATAAGTGATACAAAAGCGGGGGGAGGGGGGTAGGAAGGGAGATACGCGTTTTCTGTGGCCAGGTTGTAAATGTCCTTAAATACCATGCCACCAAATCCTGATTTTACCCTATAGAAAATGCATTCATTCCCTCCGCCTGACCTCACACCACATCAATTGGAGACAGAGCAATCAGCTCCATGGAGCTGCAGTCTATTATGCACGCACACGTGCTAAAACCTGGTAGGATCCTGCTGAATCCACCCAGCACCCTCTCCTTCCTTAGGGACAGACCCTTGGTTTTATTTGAGCTGACACAGAATCCAGAAATACAGTAACATTTCTCAGCCTCTAAGATAGGGGTGGCTGTGAAGCTCCGTTCTGATATATAAGCAGAAATATGGCGCGGAATTCTAAGAAAGTGCTTACCCAGCTGGAATAAGGCCCCTATGTCCTTGCCTCTCCTTTCAGCCTGGAGTCCTGCCCCAGAGTGTGGGTGTGATGACAGAAGCTCCAGCTGGAAGTTCTGATCTTTAGGTGCCACTGAGGATGGTCACCAGTGTGGAGGTCAGTCATGACAATCAAGAATGCAGCTTTGTGGCCCTAGACTGCTCTCACATAGCACGATCAACACTTTTTTGTGCTGAATATAATTAATCTGATTTGACTAGATGTCAGAATAACTCTAAACTGATAGCCAGAAAGACAGAATCAAATTTACACTTGCGAATGCTCATTCTGATTATAGTGTATGGGAGGAGGGGCAGCCATGGTAGAAAAATGATGTTACAGGAAGCTGGGAAAGTAAGAAGCTGACACATCATGCCAAATGCGATGAAGAGGAAGTAGCTCTGGAGAAGGGGAGGTAGAGTAGTCTAGTGGAGAAGAACATGGATTTTAGAATCCGACTCCCTGGGTTCAAGTCCTGGAGTTACTTCTTGACCAATGGTGTAGCTTTGACCAAAGAATTACCTGTTTTGATCCTCATCATTAACATAAGAAGATACAAAACTGTGTTTTCTAGGTAGTTAGAGTTAAGGAGCTAATGCATGTAAAGTCTTAGCACAATGCAGACAAGTGCACGTGTAAGTGATAATAAAGTAAAGGAACACACACGTATTACTGTGGCGAACACCGCGCGTGCCCTTCCTTCGGACCGCCATGACCTTTCATTGGGTGGCCTCACTCACTTATCCAACACTTTTCTCTCTTTCTTAGTACAAACCCTGATCACATCTGTCTCTCCTTCATGAGACACTAACATGCTCATTCTGGGTCTGCGCCTGCAATTTCTTCAGAACGCCCTTCTTTATCCTTTTCTCAACTGTCTAACCATCCTGTTTTAGTCCAACCTCCTCCAAAAAGTCTCCTTTGCTCCGCAGTTCTTATATTTGCTTTCTCTGAGGCCGACATAGTCCCCCTCCGCAACCTGAACTATTTCCTAAATATTTCATGTGTATGCAGTTGTCTTATAGGAGCACTCTGACCTCTTCTTTGTGTGTAATTCTTATAACAAAGTGGCAGTCCGACATCTGTGCACATAGTAGATGCTTATTAAACTCTTAAAATGTGATCAATGTAAATGTTTGCTTCATTTTTATTTACATAAAGATTTCAAGACAGCTAACCCTTTTATGGCAAGATAGTTCATCAATTCAGCCTTGGTTAGTGGACCTATAATATATAAACATTGGTAAATGCTAAGTTAAAAGAAGTACAAAAGTAGATCAGAAGATAAGATCCTAAATTTTACGAAGTTTAGAGAGGGAGACCTTTCTTTACTCACTAATAATCTCAGATCACTGTATTGTAAAATGATATTTTAAAAAACCACTTTTATAATGCAGTGTCAGAACAAGGTTCATATTTTCAGGTTTTAACATAAAATATATACTTACTGTTACTAACCTAAGCACTTTATACACATTCTTATTTAACCACCAAAAGGACTGTATGAACCAGATAGTTATCTCTATTGAACAGAATACAAAATGAAGATTAAAGGCATTATATAACTTTTTAAAGATGTTAATTGTATGCTAAATTGCCCCCACAATTTATTCACTAGTATGAAATCTAAACATACTCAAATACAATGCCATGTTTCTGTGCCATGATCCCAAGAGTTGACTGTGCCAATGCTGCTTCCTAAGAACATAAATCCATTTTGTTTATTGTTTCTAAAACTTTTCCCCCCAACTATAGCAGTAACATAAGGAGTGTTACCACCAGGGGGCAGCATAAAAATCTCTGCTCCAGGTTTTCTTTAAAAACAAATCATTGATAGATGCATCTTGAGATCATACTCTCAAATGAAACAGATTAGACACACATGTAAAATGTCACACTGTTGGCCTGGGGGTTTAGCTCAGCGGCATAAGCACCTGCCTTGCAAGCAGGCCGTCGTGAGTTCGATCCCCGGTACCAATAAAAATGAAAAAGACAAAAAAAATGTCACACTGTTTCTCTGGTGTAAGAAACCAAAAGGTGATCCAGGGACATGGCCTCGGAAACGTGAGGTGAGGTCCTGAGTTTAATTCCCATTACCCACCCACCCCTGCCCCATAAAAAGAAACCAAAAGGGTAAATAAGGACCAAAATGTGTAACAGATGCTGCGAAATAGGAAGGAAATGATCAAATGGGGAGAGGAGCTAGGGAGGGGGAAGGGGAAAAGAAGGAAGGGAAAAGGGAAAAAAAGCATCAGCAGAAAATGGCAACAAAGCTTTTGTAAATAAGGAGGCAAGAGGGCTGAAGGGAGGGGAGGGGAGTGGGGAAAAAAAGATACATCGCGAACAGATACAAACACCCTATAACCAATGTGATCAATATGTGTATCTAAAATACACCAATACAATTAATTTTTAAAAACCCAAACCAAACTAAAACAAAGCCATTGAAAATCTGGTTGAAGAACCAGCCAGTTATCTAACATACACAATTTTTCCAGCTAAATTCCATCCTGCCCTTGGGGTTTACTGTTGAAGACAGCGACAGGATGATGCCGCTGAATCCCACACTGGTTTATGGGCACACACTGTCTCGGTCGCCAGGAAAGGCAGCCGCACCCCAACAGAAGAGAGGTGCGCTCCACACCACAACAGAAAACAGGCAGGGTTGGCTCTTCCACGCTCAGGAGACTCCCGGTGAAAGCCAGGCCACGCCTTACCTTTACCGCTTCCAGCTCCTCCTTGCTCGCGGCTTGCTGCTTCTCCAGCCTGGTACTTAACTGGGAGCAGATCTAAGGCAAAGAAGAGCCTGTTTACTGGAAAGCAGAACAACTGGCTCCCTGCTTACCTACCTAATCACCTGATCGGCTCATGAAGCAGCACAGCTGACCCCGCAGACATGAGCAGATAGCGGCTTGAGCGGCTCTGCCCCCTGCGAAAGGAGCCCAGAGGCCTGAGTTCCACTCATCAGACACAGCTCTGCGTGGACCGCTAGAACAGAGCTGGGATACATGTGGTTTCTTGCCGTGGCTAGCTTTCTGTGACTACTTCCAATTATGCCGGGAACAGGATGAAGAGAATTTTGAACTGGAAACCCCCCTATCTAGTCATCCAAAGAATTTCTTTCTAGTCACAAAGCATTCCTTAAAGGAGCAGAAGCAGAGTGAAGCAAAGAAAGTTAATCAACCAGGAAATAATATAATTAAAACTCTTATTAAATGATTTAGCAACACAGGATGGAAATCAAACGCTTGGCCACTGATGACAAATTCTGCGTTTAAAGCCAGTCCAGTTCTACCGGTTTATAGTGTTGTGACCCTAGACAAACTCATTCCTCTTCGTGAGTCTCGGTTCCCTCACGATGGCAAACTGCCACACACAAGAAGCAAGTGAAAAGCTTGTGCAGAATGAATACAAAGTTGGTAAAGAACATAAAATGTTTATTAAATAATATCTATGATCCATGAGTTTAAAGGAAAAAAGATCTTGTTAAAAATTTGGGTGGTCAGGGGCTGGGGATTTAGCTCAGTGGCATAAGCGCGTGCCTTGCAAGTGCATGGTCGTGAGTTCAATCCCCAGTACCGATAAAAAATTTGGGGGGGGGCCTCTGAATAACATAAGAATGTTTTATTTTAGAGAAACTGATTAAAATTGATTAAAAACAGGAGTTGGGAGCGGAGGCACATGCTAGTGCACTGAGACACTGAAGCAGGAGGACCCCAACTTCGAACCCAGTGTAGGCAAGTTAGTGAGTTAGCAAGACCCTGTTCAAACAATGAAAACAAAAACAGAAAGATAGGGGCTGAGAGGTGGCTCAGTGTGAAGGCCCCAATTCAACCCCCAGAACCAATAAATAAATAAATACAGAAACATTCCATGATGAAAAAAAAGTCAAATTTTAAAGTCTAAGGCTAGAAATAAACATAATATAAATCTACTATCAAAAGACATTTAAAAAAATTCCAATTACTAACAAATAGTTCAAGACCAAGGCTTGCTTATTGAATTCAGTTTCCAATATTTCCAGACCCAAACCTGTGGAATAATTAGAAGGACTATATTATTAAGTAATGTTAAAAAGAAGAGTCACTGAGTATCATGGCACACACATATAACCCCAGCTACTTGGGAGGCTGAGGCAGGAGAATCATAACTTTGAAGCCAGCCAGGTTACCTGTCTCATAGTAAAAAACAAATGAACAAACAAACAAACAAACTAAAAAGGTCCAAGGATGCAGCTCAGTGACTGAGAACATGTTCAGCACAGATATAAGGATTAGGACTCAATTTGGGGGTCAGGTAGGTGGGGATGGAGCACACCCATAATTTTTTTTGTCTTTTTCCTTTTTATCGGTACCGGGGATTGAACTCACGACTGCCTGCTTACAAGGCAGGCGCTTATGCCACTGAGCTAAATCCCCAGCCCCCACACCCATAATTTTTGCAAACCATATACTGTTTCCCAAGAAAGTATTTAATGCCAGGCATGGTGGCACATGTCTGTAATCCCAGCACTTGGGAGGCTAAAGCAGGAGGATCACTCTGAGTTCAAAGCCAGACTGGGCTACAAAGTGACTGATATAATGAGATGCTGTCTCTCAAAAACAGACAAACAACAACCTCCAAAACAAAAGCATTTTGAAACATAGCCAATTCCAGTTACAGCATAAATTTAGAATAAATTTTGCATCCTGCCTATCTTCAAACAGGAAAGTCTGCTACCTTCTACCTTACTTGAAGGGCCTGCAAGATAATAGTCAAGAATAGTCCCAAAGGTTACTGCTTGAAGCCTGTGACATTTACATAGTGGCAAAATGTGGCAATAAGAAAAAAACGCATTTGCAGTGGTGGCAAATTCCACAGCACACAAGGCATGGTTTTTAATGTTCCTTATGTTGATTTATGTCTAACTGTCCCTAGTTACCCTAATTTAAAATCTCAGGATCAGCTTCCATCTTCTTCCTTGTCTATTGACTGGCAAAGACTATCTTTTGTATCCTTCTCTTCTGTTTTCTGATTATTACTTCATTTTAGCTTTTGGTGCCCTTTCTCTTCATACTCTGGTGTTACAGCTTTTTATGACCTGTGATCTTCCTGGGGTCTCTGCCATTAGTGCCACATTCCTTGCTGGGTCAGAGTGATGCCACCAATATATCCCTTGCTCAAAAATCCCTTCTATGGACTTCCGGGAGAACATGGCGGACAGATAACAGCAACTACCGGAGGCTCTCTGAAAGACTCGGCTCAGAAGCCAGGAATGGTGCGGACTAAGGAGACATAAGCAGGTGGAGATATGCTCCGCTGACTCAGGAACGAACTGGGCTGAGAGAAACCAACTTGGAATGCATTCCTGGTGCTAAAACAGGAACAGAAAAGCCTTGGTGTGGAGGCTGGACCCCGCGCCATTGTAAGCCGCGATTTGGATTTCCCGCCACGCGGCGGCTGGCTGCCTCTACAGCGGCTCGGCAAGGAGAGAGACGCGCAGAAGCTCTGAGAACGGCATTCTGCGAACGGCAGGGAGGCGTGCACTGACTTGTGGTGAGGTGAGTGAGAGAAGCTGACACTCTACCACAGTTTGACTCCAGCGGAGGACTTTCTGGGTCCGAGCAGTCCTGCGGGAGCAGGGCGCGGTTGCGACTCCAGCCACACATCCCCCTCTCGGGCGAGATTGGTGAAAAGTGCCTGGCCTGCGTGACGCTGCCGGCGGACCTGGTAGGCTGTCCCAACCCAGATCCCAGAGCCTGACGGTGGCCGGGAGGGGAGACGCGTAGGCTGCCTGGTCCGTAACTCCCTGGTGCGCAGCGGTGAGCGGGAACACCTAACTGGCGCAATTCGATCAGGCTGTGGCTGACTGGGAGAGAAGCTGGGCCTCTTATATAAGCTTGCACATATAAGCAACAGAGAAGAAGAGGCAGCATGGGAAGAGGCAGCAACAAGAAAGGCTCCTCGGACCCCAATTCTGAGAAACAGGCAATAGCAGACACCGCACCAATATACATAAGGCACCATATAGAGAGCCTCATAGACCAATTCAGGAATGAAGTTATCAATGACCTGAAGCTAGAAGTATGCAGAATAGTTAGAGAAATGCTAAGTACCACCCAAGAAAAAACAGGCGGTGGAATGGAAGAACAGAAAAAAAGGGGAGAATTGTTTGATGGAGAAAACAGAGAAAGCATAGAATACGTGAAACAGGTTCAAAGGGACTACCAAGATACTAAGAAGTCTATAGAAGACTGGCATAACAGCTTGAAAGAAACTAAGGACAGACTATCTGAACTGGAGGGCAGACTTGTAATATGGGAGAATGAAATGAAAAACTTCTTAAAAATAACAAAGAAACAAACAGCAATAATACAAAGACAAGAAGATGATAAGAGGATCCATAACTTAAGGATTAAGAACATAAAAGAGGAAGTAGGGACACAAACAAGTGAACTACAAAAGCTACTCACAGAAATAATCCAGGAGAATTTTCCTAATTTAGCAAAAGGTAAAGATACTCAGATGTATGAGGCATACAGGACCCCAGCTACCTACAACCCAAACAGAGCTACACCCAGGCATATAATAATAAAAATTCCAGAAATTCAATACAAGAACAGAATACTAAAAGCTGTCAGAGACAAGAAACAGACCACTTACAAGGGAACACCCATCAGAATTACAGCAGATTTCTCTGCACAAACCATCAAATCACGAAGAGCGTGGGGGGAAATAATTCAAGCTTTGAAAGATAATAATCTCCAGCCAAGATTGAGATATCCTGCACAACTGTCCCTGGAAATTGATGGAAAAACAAGGTGCTTCCAGGATAAAGAGGAACTGGGGGAATTTGCAACCACCAATTCAACTCTACAGAGAGTATTGCAGGATATTCTAAAAAAAGAAAAATACAAAGAATCCAGAAATAATGGCAGAGAGGCCACAATGAATGGAGCAGAGAACAAAATGAAGAAGACAAACTGACAGCTACTGACAGAAAAAGAGCTCAACAGAAATGAGGCAGAGAAGATTGGATGATAGGAACAGCTATTTTGGAGAAAATGACATCTTAATAGGTAATACTGATTTAGTATCATCTTGTTTTGAAGTCTTATCTAGCTTTTGTCCTTCTGTCTCCAATGGTCTAAATAGGTTGTATCTTACTGGATTTTATTATGTATGATAGTATAAGCAAAAACCTTGTAAAGACAAGGAGATTATACAGAAACCATTATTCATTTTCTGTTAGTCGATTCTAAATACTCTGTAATGTTGTCATTCTCTTGAATGGTTTTACATTGTTTTGATATACTTAATGCTACAGTATACGAAGTTGTACTCAAGGATTTCAAAGAAAGAGACAATATGGTAACTACTTTTAGGTTAGGATTATCTGGTGGTGAAACACTATTCTGCTTAAATGGTTATGTTTTGATCTGTGCTGTTTTGTTGTTATGCCCTCTTTTATCTCAATCTCCACTCCATTATTTACTTTTTTATCTTTATCCTTTTAATTAAAGGAAAAAAATAGCAGGATATATTATAGTAACCCACTTTGACTTTTCATTACCTTGATTTAAAGCCCTGTATTACTCTCACCATCTGGTTTTTAACTGATGTTCCCCTATTCTGTTTTGCTGGATAGTATCAGGTTCGAAAGTTTAGGCATCAGCAGTGAAGATAATGAGATTCATTATGACGCCCATTTTTGTTGACTTTTATCTACTTTTGAAGACCTACAATGTCTCCAATGTTTTAGTTTTGTCGGTTTTATTCTTTACTGTTCTGTTCAATTGTATTATAACTAACGATATAGGCAATTCTATTAGAGATAGCGGGAGGCATTATAGTAACCATTGTTGATCACCTTGTATTATGTTTTTACATTATCTATTATGTACACCCTTTTGACTTGACCAATTCTGTTCTGTTATGTCACATTTGGTTTTACTCTCTTCCAAAAAAGTAATAAGAACCGTGGGAGCAATGAAACCCAAAATGTGTAATAGTCATTGTACAAAAGAGAGGAAAAGAAAGTGCTCCAAACTATATAACTGCATGTATATTTAAGTGTGTAAGATAGAAAATGATATCACAGAGTTTTATTGGATCAATGAACAGAACTGATTGCAGTATCATTGATGGAATGTCCACTTTACAAGCTTTAATTTTGTGACTTGAACAATTATTTCTAAGATGGCAATATGTAATCCATTAACTAGTGATTTCCTACTGTTCATTTTTTTTTCTGTAAATCTGTATAACTTGTACCCTTTCCCTGCTTTTTTTTTCTTTTCTCCTTAAATAAAATTAAAAAAAAAATTTAAAAAAAAAATCCCTTCTATGAGCAAAATAAAATCCAAACTTCTACTCAGCCTGAAGACTTTCCCGGATCTGGGCTCCAGAGGACCTCTGCCTCCCTTCTGCGCTTGAACTTCTTACTAACATTTTTTTTTTTCTGTAAATCTCACTTGTGCTGCTCTCTGTCCATCATTTTCATCTCCTCTTCATCCACTTACATACATCTCAGTCTCATCCACGATCTGTAGCACAGCTCGAATCATTCCCTCTCCAGGAAGGGCTCCCTCTTCTCCCACATGTAGTAAGTGCCCTTTCCTCTTATTTCACACAAGGGTATTATCTCCCCATTTACAAGATAAGCTTCTAGAGGACAGATGTTAGATTAATCCAACTTTTGGTCACCAAGCATCAAGCCTCACATATATTATTATCATCATGAAAGAGAGTAAGATAGCTCTAAAATCTTCCATGAATGAGGAATTTTTAGGAGAAAGTGTTCATAACACATGAAGTGACTAATGCTACTCCCAAAAAATAAGATGGACACATAATTCACTGTGTTCATGCACATTATTTACACATCAATACATGCTCAACATATTACAATGAATATGTTTAGTTGGCAAAGTTAAAGGAGGTCTGTTTTCTACATTTTCCTAATTTTCTACACAAAAACACAAATTCCACTAATATAGAGAAAAACAAACAAAAATAGTATGCATCAGATCCTGATATGCTACATATCAGATGATCCCTGGGAAATCCTTGGGTATTGAATTAATTCTGGAAGCCTGGAATATGAATAGCCCAGTGAGTCTCCCTCAGCAATGACCAGAGTCCTTACCATATCCAGCCAATAGAAAGGACAAAAAATATAACGGCAGCTAGAATGAGGGCTTGCTGGGACCGCCTGTGACGGGGCTAGAAATGTCTCCAAGGAGTGCAAGCGCTCCCCTGACTGAGAAGTCACAGCAGAAAGTTTCCGCTAGGCCTGGCCTGCAGTGGGTGAGGTCTTGTTAAGGCTTACATCTACAGATGTGCACCCAGATCCTCATGTGGTTACAGGTGGAGCTTTTCAGAGGTAGCTGGATCTAGGGTGTGTGATGCTAGCAGTAAGGGTGTGATGCGGAGATGATCCATGGTAGTGCTAGGATTGGGGCTGCCCCAGCATGGGCATGAGCGGACAGAAGGTAAGGGGAAGAGAGAGGGCTCTGTTCCCTGCTGCCTTGCCCCCTTCTCCCTTCTGCCCGCCATGAACTATTTCTCCTAGGCCATTCCACCTTTGCAGCCAGCCAACGATGAGCTGAAACCTCTACAAACTGTGAGGTACAATGAACTTTTCCTCTTTAACTTTGGGTATCAGGTATTTTGTGTCAGCAACAACAAAAGTAACTAAGACAGGCCACTAACCATGCAGGAGGAAAAAAGGATTCACATTCTGTACTGTGACAGCAAAAGGTGCACTGATGGCCTAATTGCTTCCATTTAATACAAACATTAAACTCTGCTAAGGGGCAAATGTTACTGGTGATGTACTGGAAATTAGCTTCTGAGTAAGGCAGAAACAGAATTTCAATGATGATAATATTTCCCATCTCTCTAAATCTACCAAACACTATAAACAACGAACAGATTGCTTTGGTCAATTAGACCTTCCAAGTTATTAGCAAGCATATCCAACTGCTGCCTATTTCACAGGAGAGAATAAGTCACCAAATTAATAAATCTAAAAAAACAAACAGCAAAAGTAAAAAGTAATTACTTTTTAGAGCAACATAATCCACGATGGCTCATTACCTGTTTATATTCAGCAATGATTGCTGTGGTCTTTTTTATTTCATATTCTGCTTTCTCTAGCTGTTTCCTGAACACTTCTTTTAACTAGAAAAAAACAAAACAGGTTTCAGGCAAACTCTTGATACATTTTACAAATATCTGTGTTCAAGTTTTCCTGATTCATAGTCGGTGATAATAGTAACATCTATAACTAAATTATAAATTTTTCTCACTGAAGTTGTATTTGATAATTTGAAAATCTAATCACTTCCAGAGATGTAAAATTTTTTCTTTTCTGTAAAGTAGAAGACTTATAGCAACCGGTTATAAAACCATTCATGCTTAATTGACAATCATAATGCTAAGAAATGTCTATTCAGAAGCTGTCTTTATTACCAAGGAAATAGGGCATAGTGAATTCATTACTCGTGATGCTATACTATAAATTACCGAAAAAAAGCATTTTAGGCCTTCCATTGGCACTGTTAGTTCTTCTCTGAATACAGGGGTAGGTGGCTTTGGCATTAGGAAAAGATGGAAGTACAAAAGAATTTTTGAGATGGACCAGAGTTTCTGGGGGCATTTAGAAGAAGCTAAAGAGACACATTATGTAGGCACTTGTTATAGTCACTGAAGGGCTAAATTATGAGTGTTACTCTCAAAACCACAGATGCTTTGTGGCCCCATGGCTCTAAAATTCTGAATACAGAGTAAGTAATAAAAAGGGGTCAGTTGCTAACAGATAAAAAAATAAAGAATTCAATTCTGTCAAATTGTTGACTGAACAATCAAAACATAACTCCAGTTAATCAAGCACATAACTATAATAGCGATGAATTCTCCAAGGCAGCATCCCAAATTATTAGTGCATACATTACTGCAATTATATTAGACTCCATCATTAGAAGATTTCTGAATTTTTCATATCTGCTACATTCTAAAATTTGTAAAGCTATATGTGATTATACTGATTCAAACTTGTTTATATAAGCCTCTACCCTCTGTCTTACACAATTTAGGACATTTCCTGTGATAAGAACATACTGACCACAGGAAAACTTAAGACAGCAGAGATACTTTCAGCGAGTGTCACTAATTTTCTGAAATTAGTGATAGCTTTCTCTTGTGACAAACGAGAAGAAAGATCCCATTTCTTTTCACAAAGGTGCCCAAAATAGACTGTAGGGAGAATGCAGAATATCTCGTATTATTCCTGCCACGTATGTCCTAGGTGAGGACTCACCAAATGTCATCCTTCCCAGCTGAGGTACCAGTTACCCATGGGCTGGTGTGTATCTACTGAACACTGCGTCAGGGACAGCATGAGTTAAGTTAATTTGCCAATAGCTTCTTTTCACCTAAAGTACTAAAGTGGTCCAGGGAAATCCAGAGGTAAAGGAAACAAAACAAAAACAAAAAATCCGATCAAGAGGCCTACAGAGGCCACAAATTGGATAATCAGTCCTTCCAAACTTTTGATTAGCATAAAAAAAGTAGTTGGGCCACATTAAATGCCAGGCTCATTTTAATATATTCTAACAAGGGGGGGAAATCACAGAACACTATATAAATCTTCGAAGGTGTTAAATGACACATCTCTCTATGTGTAATTTCCCTGAACTTTTTTTCTGGTTACCTGGATGAAGGTCTTGGAAGTGCTTTATAGCCTGTTTTACATTTAGGACTACTGACGCTTCAAAATGAAACTCTCTAGTTGTGATAGAAGCTCCCTCACTTTCTCTGTTAGCTCCCTGCAGGACACCGGCCAACGGCCTGCTTTTCCACTCCTCTCTGCCCATCCTGCGCTCCCGAGGTGGTGCTGTTTCCCGCAGACTGGCTTCCCACCTGGCACAGACAGGCAGGAGGCTGGTTCCCCGGGGGTCTCAGTTTCCCCAGGGACCGGAGCTGAGAGCACTGCCAGGAACTCTGTGCTGCTCCCTCTTCCCAGGCGTGAGTCAGGAAAGTGAGCGTGACTGACTGAGGCAGAGGCTCTCCAGCAACCCTCAGGAGACCAGCTTCTTGCTCATCAGCCACTACAGAAAAATCACTTATCTTGGAGACAGGATGCAGAATTCCCAGATTCGTCAAAGCTCTTGGATCATAATCCTAAATTACTAAACTTACAGTAAACTCAACACTCTTACTAAATAGCTCCAAGAAGGTGAATTTCTAAAAGCTGCCTGAGGGGAGAAATACTGCTGCCCTTTCTAATACCCATCAAAAGAAACTCAAAGTTCTTACATTCACTGTTTCAACATGGTCCTTGACCTGGAATACATTTAATGTCACTTCTTTTTTACAGTCTTAGCTCTAGTGGACAGAAAGTGCACCTGGGCTTTTTACCTGGGTAGTCTCCTCTTCCTGCTTCCTCTTCTCCTCCTCGGTCTCCACTAGCCTCTGCTTGGTCAAGAGGAGCTCCTTATTGAGCACATCCGCCTTGTCTTCTGCCTGCAAATCAGGGCACAGCACAGCCGTGAGGAAGGTAAAGGACGTGTGTGCTGTCTCCAAAGCCGGCCTCCATACTGAGTTCAGTAATTATAGAAAGTGGCGGTTAGCTCAGTTGGTTACACCGAGGTGCTAATAGTTACAGAAGGCCTTTCTTCTCTCACGTAGGGGGCAGATGCTTTCTCAGGCCAACTATGTACCCAGCACTTAGCACATACTATTCCTACTCCTCACAATAGTTTATTTTCTAGATAATGACAGTGAGGTCTGGAGAGAGCAAATAGACTGTTTGGATCACATAATCTAGCATCAGAGTCACGATCTGAATTCAGATTTGACAGACCAAAGTCCAGGCTCTTTTAAAACACTTCTTATGCATTTTCAGATGTCATGACACTGTTCACTTTGTAGAGATGGATCTGAGGAGGAGATAAGAGTCCTACAAAGAAGCTTCTAACTGGGGGACTTTGGGGGAGGAACCAGAGGGGACAAGTGGACAGGCTGACCCACAATTGGCAGGTAGGTAAAAAAAATCCAAACACTCACTGACCAGTCACATGGCCTCTCACACAGATCAGTGGGTACAGTAACAAGAAATTAAAACCAAAAAAGTTCACAAAAAATTGTGAACCAAAATTATCTACAAAAGTCCTGTATGTATATTTAACTTGGTTAACACTATGTTTTTTATTTTTTCTTTTTTGTAGTACTGGCATTTGAACCCAGGGTTTTAGTACTGAGCTATATTCCCAGCCATTTTTCTCTTGTTTTAATTTTGCTAAGTCATCCAGAATGGGCTCAAACTTGTGATCCTCCTGCCTCAGTGCTGGGAATACAGGCATGGCATCACACATGGCTAACACTGTCTATTTTATACTCCAGGGTCCTCTCCTTTCAGCTTGAGCTTCATGTTCACGTGGCAGTGAAGCAAGAGCTGAGCTCTGTCCTACTCACTGCTGTCTAGGCAGCTCTGCTGTTACATCTCTGAACACCTTGCCTTAGAGAAGAGACAGCTATTTAAAGAAACTATCCTTGGCTGATAGCAGTCAAACATTATCCAAGTGGTCACATAAATGGTCCAGGTGTCCTTGGCTTTGTTTCACTGTATCTCCCACATATGCAGGTGCCAGGCTGGCACAGTCTGCTAGATGCTGGCAGCAGCCTCTCTCTTCCCACTGCCTTCCAGTTCCTCTGATCCCAGAGCCCAGTGCCACAGTTCTGTTCTCAGAGCATTTGGAACTACTGTATAGTACAGGTGAAAAAGTTCCTTGGAAGTCTTAAAAGATTCTAAGTTTGTTCTGATGCATTAAATTTTAGGAGAGAAAACCTAAGCAGCAAATACACAGGCTAAAATTAGAGACAGACCTACAACATGTAACTTGTAAGTGGTGCAAATTAGTCTTCATACATTGTAGGCTATCTGCCATTGATTATGAAAGCTCAAAACTGAATTCTAGAGCTGCCAATCAGATGACCCAGGTTACTCTCAAAGCAGGGAGATCCCCCACGTTTCTGGTGGACTGTCATAGAGTGGTGTATTGAGAGTTTCTGTACTGATCATGTCAATGTTCTTAAAATTCCATCTACTCTAACTCCCTGCAACTGCAGCTCACTGGTTCAAGGTTCATTCCAGATGTCTGAGTTCTATCAGTAAAAAAAGTCTGCAACTAAATCTTCTCTTACTCTTTCCCAGCAATTCCTACTTTGAAGAGAATAATCTTCTATAACATGCATTGTGACACTTAAAAGCAAATGCTTTTGTAAGTTTGGTCTCTTGAAGATTCATCCAAACTTTTAGCCTTTTGGAAACTTGAATAGTCAGTGCTACGTGACTTCAGAACAAGCTGAAGACCCTATTTGTTTTATTTAAGTTTTCTGATCTTTGTTCTGATGCCATTGATTAGGTCAAAATAAAGCAACCTTATTATTTTGTTGTTGTATCCAGCATCTGGAGCAACTTCTGTGGGTCACAGTAGTATAAGGGAAAAGCTGCGCAGTTTTCTAGGTAGCTTCTCAAGTTGTTCCTCTAGGTTAAATTGTAAAGGAGGAGCAACTGTCCAGCTCATCAAAATGTATAGTAATCTGATCTGAAATAACTTGGTTCTTCTTGTGAAAATAGACTTTTGGGTCTTTGTACAACCAACCATTATCCTTAATTTAAACAGAAATTATCCTTAATGTTGTGAACATAATGTTAAACAGACAGTTATTCCAATTCTGGATTTGGACAAAATTTATCAAACTTTCATCATGCGAGTAAGATTCAATTTCTGAATCACTTATGAACATCTTATCATGTCTTTTTTACTGAAAGTTCTGATTATAATGTAAGGCTACTGTAACAGAACTAACTGAGAGAAACAAGCCCTGCAAAGTGTACTTTAACATAAATCAAGCACGAAGATCTTTCAGGAATGATTCCAGAAAGAACCACCAAGACGGTTGCTCCATTTAAAACAAAATAATGTCAAACTTACTAGTTTCTAGTCTAACACAGAGCTTGCAGTGGTTAAAAGAAACATACATAGCGTCTTTGGTGGCATCGTCTTCTGTGTCTCTTTTTGTTCCCTGAGAATAAGGAAACACAAGGGCTGAAAGCAGGAAGCCACAGACACTAAAATGGAGATGTATCTTTTTTCCTTTCTAATCCCTGAAACATCCCTATTTAGGGAGTTAGAAAAAAAACAAGGCAGTTTCAGTAATAATCTTTGGTTCCCTGGAGGCCTGAAGCCAGCACTACAATGACAAGGTTGAGAAAGGATACCTAATTATCTTCCCAGCGATGGTTTACTTTATATAGTGTCACATATAGCCTGCTTTCATTTTTGCCTAATGTTTGCAGGAGCTTTGCTACTTTGATTAAGAGATCTCATTTTAATAATGAAAAGGTCCTGGACAAAGCTGGGATTCCCCTGGGGCTGATGCCCTTCCAGAGGGCAGGAACCTTAAACTTCAGGGAAGACTGGTGGCAAAAAGTCCCTGCTAAGGCAGAAAGTACAAAACAGAAGTTAGGATGTGTTATGCATGACACAGCAACTTTTATTCTTTCATCTAGATAACTGGGTCCAAAAAGCAGGATCTAGGCCTTAATACTTTTTTAAAAGAAAGGGAGAAAGAGATGGAAAGAGAGAGAGACAAAGAGACAGCAAGACAGAGACAGAGATGCACAGGAGAGAGGAGAGGGACAGAGGGCTAAAGGAACTGTTTCTCTAAGGGCTGATCTTATACCCCCACAGTGAGATACCTGGGTACTAAACAACCCCTTATTCAGAAGTATCTTCTATTAGCAGTCATTTTAGACACAACAAGGATTCTCTTAGATGCGAAATGATTTTTAAAATATTTTTTTCTGATTTTAAAAGTTATGCATATTATATGTAAGAATAAAATTTATTTAAAAAAGATATTGAACAATGTATTATCATTCTCCCTTACTACTAGATAGGCACATTTGGGGGGGGGGTACTGGGGATCAAACTCATGATTTTGTACTACGGTATTTTGATTTTTTATTCTTACAAGTAACACTGAAGTAAACAACTCTGCATATGTATCTTCTACTAAGTATTTTTTTAAGAGTAGCTTTTCTAGTTAAGACTACAGAGATGTTGGTTTCCTCATTCCTAAAATGAGGGATTTAAAATAACACTTGTTTCATGAAATTAGGAAGAGACAGTAAGAAAACACTTAGAAATTGGTGTCTGATGACTATCTCATAATTAAATACCTGGCAAAAATTAGTATTTTTATATCTGAAATCTTATATAGGCTTAATGCATACCAATACAAACAGTATGTTTCTCTCCCTCTTCCCCTCTGGCTTTTTGAGACAGAGTCTCACTATATAGTTTAGGCAGGCCTCGAACTCATACAATCCTACACTCACTTTCCCAGACAACTTTCAGCCTCTCTTCAGCTCATTTCAGTGCATCCCAACACCCACTGTTTAATTTTTTTTCATTAGTCAGTTACCTGATGGAAATTATTAGTGAACGAAAGATTCAAAATGTCAGAAGCAGGCATAGATCAGTTTTGAAAGTGCACGTGTAGTAAGAGTTGTGTTTTCAATGGTACTGGCGGTCTGACTCCTAGTGGAGTTTGGCCCTGTCTGAGTGGAGATCCTTCGGCCTTTTTTGATTCTGGCACTCGTGGCCACGCTTTCCTCACACCACTTTTCTTAACTTCCAAATGGGCTGGTGAACGAAGTCTGTGGTTTAAGGAACCAATTTTTTTTAATGGGTTGTTTTTTCTATGTCCTGCATCCTGTGTCCAAAACAACCTAGATTTTTTCTTTTTAATCACGGCAAAGTCCATTGAGAGGCTGGAGGTATAGCTCAGTGGGACAGCATTTGCCTAGCATGCATGAGGCCCTGGGTTCAGTCCCTGCACGGGGGTGAGGTGGTAGCTGTAGTGGTTCAGTTCCATTTAGTGTTCATTTCTTTAGCTTCCTCCTCTCTGTTAGCCTTACTTTCCTGGGTCTTGGCTGTCACAGTCCTGTGGTTAAAACTTTTGAGCTGTGTATGTAAGAGGAAAAGAAGTAGTAACAGAAGCCATTTTTAGCTATTCTTCAATTTTAAGCACACATGCAGATCTATGTTACTATTTGGTTTGTATCTTAAATTCTGTCAAGGCAGAATTACAGGATAGGTAATGGTTCTTTCACACTCGCCAACGTGAGTTTCCATTTTTCTGATCCTGCACCATCTGTTAGGAATATCTATTGTCAGAAGTCAGAAAATAGGATAATAATTTCAAATCTGCACAAAGCTGCTTCCACCATGCCAGTCATCTCTGAAAATAACAGCAGAAGAAAACAGGAAATCCTGAGATTGTCAGCACTTTTAGGAGAGCAAGGAAGCTAAACAATTGAAGGTCTTCCTAGCAATAACTAACATTTATTGAATACATACTACTGAAGTTCTTTAATTCTTATATCTCTCTATAAGGGAGATACTTTCCTGTATCTGTGAAGGTAAGGAAACGCCTCGGGTCACTCAGATAGTAAGTGGTTGGTGCCAAGATTCACATTCAGGCAGCCTGGCTCTTAGCCCCTAAAATGCCTGTCAAGTCAACAATCCAGCTCGTAATGATTGTACTTCATATAAAACTTCACATTCATTATAGATGAGAATCCCCACTGGAAGAAAAAGTAAGGTGCCTACAAATGTCAGAGCAGCATTAGCGTACTCCTGGGTGACTAATATTCTTCGGTGATTATGCTGGCAGTTCTTGGTTTAGGAAAGTACTGATAGAAGGAGACATCAGAGAAAATTAAAGCCACAAAAAAATAGGTCACGCAAGCTATTTGGAATTGACCCAAAGTAATCTCAAAGGCTTCACTTCCCAGTCTCGCCGATTTGTATGAGATTAGGGTGGAGCTACAGCACTACAGCACTGACTGTGTTGGTCTCCTCCCACTTGTCACCCACTTATTTCGCTATCAAGCAGAGGGAATGGGAGATGTGGGGGAGAGCAGCTTGGTCCCTGCCCTCCAGAAGTTGTCACAGACTCAGTTCTACCTCGTGACCTACAGCGTTACCTGATCCAAGTCGTTCCGCAGAGCAATCTTGCTGGTTACGAGCTCATGGGCAAGGTCATCGTTCTCTTGCTCCAGTCTCATGCTGGCCTCCTGTAATCTTCTGTTCTCCCTCTACAGAAAAACAAGCAACAGCCACGGGTGGGTGTCAGCATCTGCACGTACAGTAGACACGGAAGGAACTAATGGGAAAAATAAGCAACAGCAACAAAGTGAACTTTCGTAGGTGTAAAAGGAGAAGGCGCAAGTGGCACAGGAAGGCAGGATTGCTGTCTGGGAAACAACAGTGAGTTTAGCCAGCAGTGCGGATGCGGTACTCTGCCCAGAGGACTGAACAATTACCCCTCAAACCCTCCGGATAGAACTGAGTAATAAAAGTGAACCACAAGAGCAAAATTTCCAGCCAGACTCCCAATCCCATGGGGTTTTCATGGAGACCTAGAACACAGACACAAGCAATTCTTTGTTTGAAACATGCACAGGAGCGCCACCCTGACTGCGAGAGAGACTGAGAGACACAGTGGGGATGACACTAGACATTTTACCCAACTGTTTTTCCAGGATCAGGGTTCACACTGATGGAGAATATTTAAGAACACTCTAAATCGAGTCAAGATATGTGAGTTCATGATCCTAGTATCAGCTAATTTTTAAAAATTCGTTGAGTAAAGACATTTACTTTTCTGAAAACATATTTTTGTGTTAGTAAAAGCCATAGTACCTATAGTAAGTTTGTAAATATTTATTTTCTTTAAACTTTGGATAAAATGATTCTGGGTAAAATAAGTTACTGGTGTGTTTCTTTCTCCCCATACCCTTGAACTCTCAAAAAAAATCTGAAACAAAATTATGTGATGAAAGTACCAAGTGACTAATTCTTACTAAGCAACATGCTTCCTTAACTAGCCATTATCAACTTGGTATGTTGACATTTATTTTCAGAATAGCAATTTAGTGTCTTCCATTCCAAAGTATCAAGACTGCTGTCTTTGCTACTGGTGCCAGTTGCAAGAGATTCAAGAGCGCCAACAGGAATGACTTCTCGAGATGATGCCTCGCTGGTTTTAGGCTTATGCTCCTGTTTTCTGAAAGGGAGGCAAAACCCTCCCTTACACAAGACTGAGAGGAAGGACTTATTAAAAGAACACAGAAGACAAATATCATGTTCTGGAAGATCGTGCATCATAGTATATGAGGGGGTGTGAAGTTAATTTTATCTGTGTTTCTTATACAAAGAAGAGAACCTAATGTGGTTTTTTTTTTTTTTTTTTTTTTTTTTTTTTTGCTTTTTGCTGTTTTTGTTTTTAAAGAAAGACTGAAAAATAGACAGTAAGGGGAAAGCTGAGGTTCTCCCGGGCCAGAGGACTCATAAACAAGGATGGCCGGCAAACAGGTTAAAGGACAAACCTGTACTTTGACTGTATCTTCTGTCTGTGTGTGTATGGGTGTTTGGGGGGGGGCTGGATGTGAAAATTCTGTATCCCTTAAGTATATTTAGGTAAATTTATGGCAGAATTCTACACAATAGTAAAATACTAGAAAAATAATGACAGAAAATACACTATCTTGCAGGGAAAAAAAAAGATAAAATGTGGAAATTCTATTTTTTAAATAATATAAACACTATAGAAACAGGGTTAGTGGTACATTATTTTTAGTATTATTCTCATCCTTTTTAAATTTTTCCAAGTTATTTACACTGAATATATATAACAGAATTTTTTGAAATTTTTGCTTAAAAATGGGCAATTTAGAATTTCCATTTCACTAGGAGAAGAAAGAGACTGAAATGAGCAAAAAAATATTAAGTCTACTCCTGACAGAAGGTCATTCTACCCAAAACCACAGTGGGTCATCTTTTGGGACAAACTCAGTGTTACCTCTATAAAGCGCTGTCTCGCAAGACCTCTTTCCCCAGATTCTCTGAGAAGGCACGATGCACATCTGCGGAGTCAACTTGTATTCATCAAATTCTGTCTGTTCCCCCAATTTACACAGGTTGTGCCCTCCAACAGGAGCATAATAAATGTGGGAACCAGGTCAGAGCTTCTATGAGTAACCTTCTGATCTTTGGAAAGGAGCCCATTTTCTAGCAAGGGCTAGAGAGCTAGTTTTTATTTCTGATACAGTCATTACTTCTTTTCATGGAAATAACTTTTATACTTACAGAAAACTTAGATTTAAAAAAGAAAAAGGTTTCAGAAATTTCTTCACTAAATTTCCTCCTTGCCAGGAAGGAATAGCAACACCTAGCACAATTTCAACACAACATATTTCACAGTACACATGCTTAGGTGGGGAATTTTTCCCATTTCTTGATAAATACTTTAAAGAGATCAAGTAAGTCTACTACAATACCTAATCCTGAGTGAAATGTCCTATTTCTACTTGAAACTGTACTCAAAGAACTACAAGGTACAAACTGCTTCTTCAGCTATTATTTACTTTACATTAATTTGGCACAAGTAAAAAATGTCACAAGTACCAGTTTTTCAGGTTACAGTTACCTGTTCAGAATTGCATTACGATAACCTCCAGGTAAAGGCACATGATGTTTGTAGGAAAGTACTTTATTAAAGTATTTAAAAAACCGTACCAGGTAGCTAATCCACTACTGATTAAAAACAAATGTCTAATGGATTATATACTACAGAAGAAAGCTATGAGTGAACTCAGCTGAAATCCTGACAGGTAACTTCTCATTACAATGACTGCTAAAACTTAAACCCTTCCTCAGAGGGATACACATAAAGAGGTACGAGTATAGCTGGGGAAAAACTGGGGAGAAATTGAGTGTCTGAAGATCCCTCAAAAGCAGAATAGCCTAGGGGGAGGATCTACTTGCTTTTGCTTTAGCAAGAAGTTTCAGTTTGGTGTCTGCAAAGCAAGCCGCACAGTGGGAAGTGTCAGACTTCTGCTCTGCACTCACAGACAAGTGGGAAAGCAAGCTTCAGGGCCAAAAATGCAGTATCGTCCTCCAAAGTATGAGCCTGAGGGTGTCAACGTGTACTTGCAAGTCCTCAAGTGCCACTGAGTGCTACTGTGAGACGTGGCTACTGAGATGGAGACTCCCTGTGAAGAACTTGCCAGGTACAGATCAACAATCAACAGAGTGGACAGTGCTTAGCTGTCTTTTCCAGCCTTTCCTAAGGAGCCAGAACGCTTTTCAGAACGACTGATTCAAGAAAAGTTTGTTTTTATTGGAATGGAGAAGGAGGTTGGATCTGATGGCTTAGGAAAGTAGTAATCTTGTTTGGTTCATTTGGAAATGTTGGCAAGGCCACTCATAGGACAGACCTAAAGTCAGCCCTGATAACCTCAGTCTGCCCAGAGAGAGCTAATGCTGTAAGTTTGCAAAAGCAGATATATGGAATGCTCAGAGCTTGTAAACAAAACAGGCAGATTGCTTCCTGTGCCTTTCAGAAAAGCTCATAGGAGACACTGGTTACATAACCCTTAGAACTCACCCTGCGCAGTCTGAAACATACTCCGTCTCACACAGTCGGCACTGTTTGAACTAAAAGCAGAAGATAACTTTCCTCATTACTTCTTTCCCCTCTTCCATAGAAGATGGATCACTGGGGAAGTTTGGTTAGTAACTTTTGGGAGGAGGATACTGCATTTTTCAAAGAGACAGACGCTGATACAGACATACATACATTAAAAACTTACCTCTTCAAAAGTCATAGACCAACTACCGTTTTCAACCATAGGTACAAAGACAATTGAAAAAAAAAAAAAAAAAAAAGAAATATCCAATGAAATTGTACACCTACCAATACATTTAGGAAATGGCAGTAACAAAAACAGACATTTGTTAATGCTATTTTTTTCTTCTGTTTTTCTTAGAGTGTCATATACTCTAAGTTCTCTCTGTGACTCCAATTACTCAAGGCAAGAAAGTATACTTGAGGCAGCCAGTGGGCAAGTCTCAACACAGGAAGACTCATACTTAAAAACTCCTCCCTCTCCACACTGCTATTTGCAGTTTGCATGACTTATAGAAATGCTGCCTTTGGAACTATTAGCAACGACAGCAACAGCTTGAGTTGTTTATGCTGTGTTGTGAAAGCTGGGTGGAAGGAACTTCCTTGTATGACAGGATCAGAAGCTTTGCAAAATAGTTCAGGCAAAAGAATGAAATTGTTGAGCTAGGGAATGTGAAAGAAAAACCATTCCCACTTCACTGGCTTCTGACGGCTGAAGTCTGGGTGAAGAACTCCAAGGAATAGAAAATGTCGTTTATTCCGAGAGGAGAAACCAAAGAAATGTGAACTGGCAATCAAAAGAAAATAACTAAGCTTAAAAGGAAAAAATGATGCGGAAGGAGGCGGTTACTAAACTCTGGTAAATATTTTGGGTGTGTTGTCTGCTGCTACGATGAATTCTTGGCACATGCTTTTAAAGATATTTAAGGGTCAGGAAAAATGTGTTTTTAAAAGACCCAACACAGTGTCCTCAGCAACAACACATTCAATTTTTGCCAAAAAAACCCCCAAAACTTTAAGAGTTGACAACCATCATATTTAAATTTTCAGCAGTTTTTTTGGCATACAAAGATAAATGCCTTTCATATGTCAAAGTCTATATCATCTGTAAATGAACATTTAAGGAAGTATGGACATTTAAAACTGTTTTATGCCTTCCTTCTTTCTCACCGGATCCAGTTTTATCTTCCTGGTGGAAATTTCAAATGTCAAACTAAAAACATAATTTTGTCAGTAATAACTGACAGTCGGCAAAACCAGACTGCATTTCTTTTAGCCCTTAAAAAAATAATCTCACATTATATTCAAGTACAGGGGTCAGCAAACCTTCAATGTAAATAGCCAAATAGTAAATATTTTGGGCTTTGCAAGTCACACATCTATGTTGAAATTACTCAGTTCTGTCACTGTCAAGTAACAGCAGCCACAGACAATAACTAGACACAAAGGCGTGGCTGTTTCTAATAAAACATTATTTACAAAAACTGGCAGTGAGTCCAACTTGGCCCACAGGCCTGAATGTGTGGATCTCTGTTTTAACACGGGTAAGATTCTCAAAAAGCAAATGGGTTACAGAAGATGTAGAAACATATTAATGTCACCCAACTTCCTTAAACAGGAAACAAAACTTTCTCAAAACTAAAGGATTGGAGAATTCTGAAGACCATCAATAAGCACACTTAGAAACTCTTTTGGAGTGTAACATGTATACTTCCCCCACACGTTAAGTGTAACAGAGTCAGGGAACCAGCAGCATCAGAAACCGCCTGCTCCTTTTTAGCTACATTGCTTCAGAAGCTTCAAAGGGGCTCAGGCTTGCATTCTTCACCATCCTACAATAACAAATTCACTGTTAACCAGGCTCAAAAAGAAAGTGGAAGCCTTCTCAACTTTGTCATTAAGTTATCACAGACAGGCTGAAACAATCATGTCCATTACTATTCATTAAAAGCACATTATTTCATAAAATAAATATTTCTAAAACTCAGCAATAGTCTCTGTGATATGAAAAACATACTAAAATGTAAGCTTATTTTTATTGGTAAACAGCATTTTCAAATATAGATTATTTTGACTTCCATCAGTAGGCAGGGCCCAGCAGTGAGGAAAAAAAAGTACTCTTCCTTTTTTAATGAGTAACAAATTTAGCATAATGTAAGCATGCTCATTAGTCAAGCTTTTTAAAAATGTGATAGATTTTAATAGATATGTAAAGATGGCAGATAATACAAATACAATTAATTTTTACTCCAAATATTTTAATTATTTTTACTATGCACAATAAAATAGCTTCTAAAAATTATATACAGCAACAGTTGTGCTACATAAATAATAAGTATGTGCAAGAAAAACTTCGTGTAAATTTAGACAAATCATTTCTATTTGGAGTGCTTTTTTTTCTTTGGATGCAGCATTAGGGATGGAATCCAGAGCCTTATATACTATGTAAGCACGCAACTACCTCCATCCCCTTCACTTCTTTTGGTACCAGGAATGGAAGCTAGGATCTTGTGCTTGCCAGGCAGGTGATGTGCCACTGAGCTATATCTCTGGCCCCTATGTATATGTATATTTTTTTCCTTTTGAGACAATGCCTCAATATGTAGGCTGGCCTTGAACTCACTATGTAGCCCAGACTAGCCATGTTCTTGCTGCAATCCTCCTGCCTCCATCTCCTTGGGTATCACACTTCCATTTACATTTTCATTAAAAAGAAATTAAGATTGGGCTTGGCATGACGGCTTATGGTTGTAAACTCAGTACTCAGGAAGCTGAAGCAAGAGGACTGCTTGAGTCTGAGCCTCGCCTAGGCTATATTGTGAGTTCAAGGCCAGCTTGAACTACATAGTGAGACTCTGTCCCCCAAACACCAAAAGTACAAAAAAGATTAAGATCGGCATGATGGCACATGCCTGTTAATCCCAACCACTTGGGAGGCTAAGGGAGAAAGGTCAGAAGTTTGAGGCCAATCTGAGCAACTCAGTGAGACCTTTACTCAAAAAATGAAAAGTGATGCATAACTGCAATCCCAGTACTTGGGCGGCTGAGGTAGAAGGATCAAAGAGTCTGGACCACATATAGAGTTTCACACTAGGTTGAACTCAGAGTGAGACTGTCTAAAAAGAATAATTAAAAAATAAATAGGGGTGACATTCAGCTCAGTGGTTCAACCCCTGTATTGCACATACATACCAAACACACATACTTACCTACCTACATCCATCCATCCATATAGATATACACACTAGGTCTAACTAACCTCAAGAAGGAAGCTGAACATTCTAAATTTAATTATATTGAACTAGGATAATATATTTCAATAAGAAATTATGTACATAATATCTGTATACGGAGCCCAAGAGAGTGTAAGCATTCTATTCTTTCTAGGATTTCCCATTCTGAATAGGTCACCTTTATGGTGCTTTGGGATATTCACTGAATTTAATTAATTAACTATGTTTTTAAAGGCTTAAATTACATTTATGAAAGCAGTTCTTTAATTAAACAAGAAAAGCCTGTCATTCTCCAAAAGCAGATGAAAGCTGCAGTTCTTTAATTGATTACATCACCAGAAACTACTTTTCCCCACAATGCAAACAATTCATTTCCTAAAGAATGAAAATACTATTTTGATTTCTAGAGTTAGTATCTGCTTGGGTGTTTGGTTACTAGTTTTAAAAATGTTCTAAACAGCTATACATACCCATGAATGTGTATTTGCTAGGGACTTGCATAAAATGAAAATTACTCTCTTCATTTGAAAACAGTCAATACATTTACAAACTGAGTTATCAGAGTACATAAAGAATATTACATAAATTTGGTCAGGCATAAGTTCAGGAGGATATCAAAAGAAGTTTAGAATAAATATTTTGTATTTGTCTTCCAGTAAGTTTTCTTTCTGTCTTTTAGTGTTGTCATGAAATTAAACAAAAAGAGAACACTAAAGGCTATTAGAGGTCATTGTGTGGTTCATTGAGTTTTAAATACAAACTGAAGCTGAGAGCAGGTGGTACAGGCAGGGTGCACCTGTGTTGTCTATTCATCTACATAAATTATCTTTATGTGTGTGTATGTGTATTCCATGTACAACATATATTCTACCTAGAAATTAATGAGCATTACTAAAAATGAATGTCACCACTTGTGCTGGTCTTTTGCCTACAAATATGGGTACATATAAGATTAATAATCACTAGTTGGCTTGAGTTTTTATAGTAGGAAGGACTCACTCGTACAAGTATGGATCCTACACCAGTATCTCTGATGTCACTTTGGGCTCATGAACTAAAAATGAAGGGCCTGAGAATCATTTTCTTGGGATGTGTTGCTTGTTTTATAGGGATGGGGAGTAATTTCATTGACAAATTGGAAAATCGTGGTTTCAATGTACAATTCAGTGATTTTAGCATATTTACAAAGTTATGCAATAATCACCACTGCCCAAATTCACAATATTTTCACCATGCTTACTATGTTAAGGTTTAATTTTATACCACTACTATTTTTTCCCTTCTTTGTGGTTGAGACTGAGGTATTGAATACATGTGAATATAATGAAAGAACCTTAGACTGTATGTTTGCATATGTCATAAAAACAGGCACAAAGCACATGTTTAGATTAATAGCATGAGAAGAGTGACTGCTGAGAGCCTTCGTTACATTACTGGGTCTTCAATTCCAACTCTGGCTTTTCTGAAATTGTCCTCTCATCCATCTCTTTTCTTTTTGATACTGGGTCTTTTTATGTTGCCCAAGCTGGTATTGAACTTGTGAGCTCATGATCCTCTTGTCTCAACTACGAAGTACTGGGACTACAGTGTGTGTCACTTATCTATCTGCCTGCAATATCCCTTTAAGGTCTCCTACCAGATCCAAGAGAAACAGCATCAAACTGAAATATACCTTAGAATATCCTGTATGTATGCTGTATGTTATTTCAGAAAAATGATTATCATCACTAAGAGTGTCCCTAACTCCCTTGCCACATGGCAAGTGAGAGGTGGGCATGGCCCTTTAAGCAGTGTGACTCCCATAAGGAGGGTGTTACTCACCACTACATTGACCTCCAAGACTTACTGTGGTTGTTCATAAACTGGGCTCCCAGTCCCAAATCTAGGAATTATGAAGTGCTCACTCCCCATATAGAGATCTTATTCTTGACAAGATCAAATTGAGAAGATCCTTAGAAGTATTTTCTAAGATACTTTATGGCTCTAATTTAGATAATTAGTTTCTTAAACTACACATTGATCATGTGAAGGACCAAATCTGCTGATGGTTAGAAACTATGTTGTTGGGGCTGGGGATTTAGCTCAGCGGCATAAGCACTTGCCTTGCAAGCAGGCAGTTGTGAGTTCGATTCCCGGTACCGATAAAAAGGAAAAAGACAAAAAAAGAAAAGAAACTATGTTGTCAACTATACTGTCAAACTATGTTGTCATCTACCTTGAAAATGTAATTACAACTTCAGGATTGTAACTTTACAAAATGTATCACCAGGAAAAATATCTAGACATTATTAAAGGGTATAAGAATGTTAGATAATGTATGAGAAGCTATTACAGTACTACAAAAGAGCTACAGAGAGTATCTGATATGGGCAAATAAGAGTTTATAATACTGAAATTAACAGTAGCATTTTCTTTCAAAACAAAAACAAGAAAGCTTAACTGTATATCCTTCAATTATACACTATGTTGATAATCTTATAAGTCACTTAAAAAGGAATATATATCATTATTTATTTATACATACCTGCTTTGATACTAAAAGGATTTAAGACTCAATAATAGTTTAGTCTCCTCCAGTTTTTGAATACACAACTTTGATTTTCATTTCCTTCTCTTTCTTTCAGTTGAAAGCACTGTTCACAAATTTTATTCATAATTATGGTGGCATTAAGAAGATCAGAATGATACAACAGTAGGAAGGTTTCATTTGGATCTTTAATAATACTTTTCCATTGCTTGTTTCAAGCTTTTCTAAACCAGTCTGTTACAGGATCTACATTAAGGCTGAACTTATTTTAAAATGAAAAAAGAATACTTACTAAGGGAATAATGATGTTAGACATTACGAGCACCTGACCTGCTAGAAGTTGTCTACCATAGCTACTTAGAGGATTTTATTATCAGTTCTTAAGCCTGTTCTGTAAACAAGAGAGGAAACATACTGACTAATGTCAGATGATCAGGGAACAGTACTTAGGAGAAAAAAGAGGACAGTCCAAGGGACCGAAAGGGCAGGCCCATTTGGGGTTACATGATTATAATAATTCTTGGATAATTCAGTAGTAAACTCCATGAATTATTAATAACCATATTTACTGAACACCAACTACCTGCTAAGTACTTAACATATAGCGTCTGTCATCTTCATAACGGTCCACCAAGAAATCATACACATTACACATTTTACACGTGAGATGTAGGTTCAGTATTTAGTCCAAGATGCTGAACAGGCATAGATATTAAAACCCCCAACTAGGATTCCACGTCCTAGCTGGATATGCTTTAGAGAGCCAGGATTTGAACTCCAGTCTGACTACAAAACCCTCACACACCTTCTATCATGCTCCTCTATCCACAACCCATGCTACTCAATTCAACAACAAAGTGAAGACATACTGTGTGCCTGTGGTGTCCATGTCCAGCTCTCTAACCACAGAGTTAAAGACAACTCTGGTTACAAAAGTGGCGGGCATCCCTAGTAATTTCATTAATGTCACGACAGTACTTTCCTTAGCAGGGTATTTTGGCATTGGCAGGGTGATGATGTGAAGAGGGAGAGAAACACACTGTACAGATCTAAAGAATTAGAGCATGTTGAAGAGAGACAGTAATATTTCACAAGGAAAAAGTACAGCACTGACTCCAGGAGCCAGTATTGCTCAGTACCACTGAGGCAGTCTACCTTCATGAATGGCCCAATTTTTAAAAACACCACAATTAACTAGGATATTAAATTGAAATCATTGAGACTGCAAGCTATATACAATGTCACTGTTATCCATCAATTTGTGGAAATAAACGCTGCGACAAACACCGTTACTGTGCTTGAGATACCTTTGTGCCTTTTATTTTTCTTTCCGAGTGAGTTTATATTTTTTAATATTTGCTATAGACAGAGGTCAGTTTGTAACATCCTTGTGTCAGTCTTGGAACAGTTCACCTTCTAAAAGTCTCTGTGGAAGTGATCATGCACAGCTAACACAGTACTTTGTCATTTTCCTTTATTTTTTCTCCCATTTTGAAAGTAGAAAGCCACTTTCTTTCCTTTTCCCTCTCTTTCTCTCAGCTTCTTATGAAGAGTCCCAGTATAAGGCAACAGCTTGGAGTTACCTACAAATATACAAACTGAAAGAAAAGAAATACGGTTGGCTACTTGGGAGTCTGAAATAAAGACACACCCGGACAGTTAGCGTGTTCAAATAGAATTTAAGCCAATCAGAGTGGAACGGACTTGGCACAGATGCTGCTATAAGGGTAAAAAGCGTTTTGCTGACAGGTGCAAAGTGGATCCCCTACCTTGTATCTATCCATTGGGTCTTCCTGCTGCAGCTGGCTCTCCCGCATTGTCTGATATTCTTTTTCATACTTCTTCAGCTTTTTGGTTGGTACCTGCAAAGTTTGAAGAAGTGCATGTTAGAGAAGACAGTAAATTAGGAACATTTCTAAATGTTATTCCCAACTGTGTCTCTAGCATTCTAAAAGAGCATTCCTAACTCAAAGTTAAGGGGGTGAGGGATCTAGATGCTAGAGTAGGGCCTGGCAAATGTTTCCTATAAAGTTCTAGATAGTATGTATCTTAAGACTCTACACTGTGGGGGTCACAATCATTTTACTCTGCTGTTACTGTACAAAAGTTGTCCCAAAAGATGCATATGCAAGTAAGTGTAGCAGTGTTCCAAGAAAGCTTTATTTTATAAAAACAGTCATAGTTGGCTATCGATATAGCTCAGTGGCATAAGTGCCTGCCTGTCAAGTGCAAAGTCCTGAGTTCGACTTCCAGTACCAAAAAAAATCATAGTTTAGCCAGCTCTGTTCAATAATTTGGTTGATGCCATGACCTTGTCTTAGGTATGTATTTAATAGTGGCATTTATTTTAACTATATTTAGGTATAATTCATTCATAGTCTTTTATCTTGAAAATAAAAATTATTTTATAGAAATAAACTAATAGAATAATAAATATTTTTAAATGGAGTTAATATACTGAAACAATTCTAAAATTTGATGCTGAAACTCAAATACTAAATTCCATTCCATTTCAGTATGCTAACAGGAGTAACAGAAAATAATCTAAACAATACATCATTTTCTTACTAAAATTATGTCACCCTCAAAAGACAGTGGTGTACTCTTTTCTAAAAAGACTAGAACCTTATAGGATCTTAAAATTTTAATGATAAACAAGCACAATATAGCATGCAAGTCATAGAATTTGGCACTACATAAACCAGGGTCTGAATGCCCACTACTTATTTATGAACCACAACGAACAGGTATTTTAGCGCTCAGCCTCAGTTTCTTCATCAATTTGTCTTTTTTGTGTGTGCTGGGAATTGAACTTAGAACCTTGTGCTTGGCAGGCAGGCGCTGTGCTGCTGAGCTATATTTCTAGCCTCCTTTTTTCATCTATAAAACAGTAAGTAAACAAATTTCTACCTCGTAATAGTTGACAGGAGGATCAAATGCTATAACAGAGGTAAAGTATCTAAAATAATGCCTGTCTCATGGAAACTTAAAACTTTTACAAAAATTACTGTCAAAATTAATTTATCAAACTTATTCTGTTCCATATGACAGATGAAATCGACTTTCAGCCTTTCTTTAGACAATCAAAATTATAAAGTTCCTTTAAATACAAAACTTTTTTCTTAATGTTTAAATCTCAAAGAAAGAGATTTGGAAAAATAAATTTGTTTTTAAATTATAAACATGGTATTTTCCTGACTTCTTGAAGAGTCAATGAAGATAAGAATGACAATTAGTCTCAGTATCTACTATGATACGTACCAAAGGAGTTTGCCTGTTCTAAGTCCTCTACGGGTTACATTTCATATTGAATTAAAAATAAAGTATTAAGGGAAAATATATAAATACAAAATACGTAATATATACATATATATTACATAAGAACAAATGCATTAGGGAGAAAAGTGAGAGTGAAAAACTCCCAGCATGAATGTGATTATTATACAGTTTTCCAGATTAAGGATAGTTTCAATTCTCTGAAATCAAGCCAGAGACTTTGTTAAAAAAACAAGAACACTGGGATCATTTTCTTAGTCTTTTTACTTTGTATTGCCATCCACGAGCCCCATGAAATACTGCAATTATCTGCTTCTGACAACAGCTGGGAAGTTTCAGTCTGGGTCCCAGCCCAGTAGGAGTGAACTGTTCAGCAGCCACTCCCCTCAAGTGGCTGAGGGGAAAACTATCTCCCCAGTCAGAGCGGAAAGGGGGACACTTTCCAGGGTGTATCTGACGGCAAAGCCACTGCGGAACACTGCCATTAGGAACACTGATCCTTGATGTCCCATCTCCAGAGCCCTGCGGCAGCACACTGCGACCCACTAGAGTGCAGCAGAAAGGAGGCCCCACCCGCCCACTGTGTGGTCACAGGCCATTAGCTAAACCAGAAAGCACACAGATCATGTGTTAACAAGACAGCAGCAGTGTTTCCTTGATTTTGATGGTGGGGGCTCAATTTCCTTTCATTTTCTTTTCTATGCATATATTAATCATATATTCAAAAAACCAAAAATAGACTCTCCAGATCAGTAGCAAATCACTGACACAAAAATGGCACTGAAGCTAAGAGAAGAGGAAAGAAGTCTCAGGGTTTTAAACCGTGACAAAGCATTTCACGTATATCCCTACAAATGGGCCAATCTAAAGCACTGAGAAGACTTACAGCTAATTTACCCATCACATCAGAAACACTTTAGTGTTTTACAGCTGGAATACCATACTACTGGGTACCAGGCTGACTATCAGTCCTGAGTGTAAATATCCATTACACAGTTCAAAAATGGATCCATTCATTGATGGCTGGATTACATATTGTAAGCTTCTTCCGGAGAATTCTTTTAAAATCTCATTTTTTAGATTCTCACTAATACTGAGGTTTTTTTTCACATGTAAAAAAGTTTTCACTTAAAAGTAACTTGTTATTTATGCTAATGGGTTTATTTCAAAATGATTTTTTTTAATGGGTTAAACACCGTCAATAAGCTAATCCTTTCCCATCTGGCTGAGATGCAAGGATGCTGGCTTCATCTTGTTCAGGGAAACAGAGCAGACTGCCAGAACAATATGTTGCTAGGAAACCTTCCAAGCTTATTCATCTTGTGTTGTGGGGTGATACTGAGCATCTACCCATAAATTAGCACAATGTGAAATGGGGGAAAGGGTGAACGAGGAAGAGAAGAGAGCTGATATGAAACTTGTTATTTATGAAGTGATCAAAGAAAACATTATCTTAAACACTATCTTTCAGACAAAACTGTATTTTCTTTTAGGGAATGGAATACTGAAGTTTGAAATTGTTTTTATTGGAGGAAGGAACTTGTAAAGAAAACTTCTTCAATATTATCATGTAGCTTTAATTAAAAGAATAAATCCTCAAAAATCCCACAACTGTTTATGAATGTAATTAACAACAAACATTCATCACTTCACTACGATATTTATTAAAAACAACCAAGCAAATAAATAGAAAAAAGATAAACAATGTAGGCAAAATAACTTTAATGAGTATGTAGGGAACATTTAAATATCCAGCCAAGGCTTGACATTTTGGATTTGGCAACTACATTTTGGGAAGACAGCATTTTAAGAGACAACCAGTATTTATACCTTTTAAATCATTTATAATCTTTAGTGATATTTCACAATGTGCCTGGCCCTGATCTTTAAATTCATATCATAAATAACTATTTACATGGAACTAATGAATTCAAGCTCAGCCAAGACCGCCTGTGGTGTAAACACTTTCTTTAGGATGAGGAAGCCAAAGCAGTGGCCCAGTAATCTAGAAGTTGGTGGGTCTGGCCCCTGGAGCCTCCATGCCACTGCATATTTTGCCTTGTACTGGACATTTTCAGATGAAAAATTTAGTCTTCAATTTTATTCATTCAAATTCTGTCATTATTTTTGCCATATCCGATGGCATTTTACTATTTTTCTTTAAATGAATTTAGTTTTTTAAACTAGGTAAGGTAGAACACACCTATAATTATAGCACTTTTGGAGACTAAGCTGGAGGTTTGAAAATTTGAGCCCAGCCTGGGTAACTTAGCAACTGAGTGAAGCCTGGCCTAAGAAAAGAAAAGAAGAGAAAAGAAAAAGGGAGGGAGGGGAGGGAATAGGAAGGTAGCTCAGTGTGAAGATCCTGGGTTTCATCCCCAGCAAACCCCTTCCATAAGAAAATAACTTATATTCAACACATATTTATTTTATAAGAAAATAATGTTTGTTATTATATAAGAAAATAAATAGCAGTTAATACAGAAAAAGTGTTTCTCAAAAATGTTGCATTCTAATTCCTAAAGGATGTAAATTGCCACCTTGCATGGCAAAATGGACTTTGCAGATGTGATTAAAGTGAAGGACCTTGCAATGCGAAGATGATTTTAGATTACTGGGTGGTACCAACAAAGTCCTTAAACAGGCAATCTTTCTAGACTTCATTCAGAGAAAGATGTGTTACTGCAGAAGGGCCAAAGAAATCTCACACTGCTAACCCTGAAGACGGAAGCAGAATTCCAAAAATTAGGAAATGTGAGCAGCTGGAAAAGGCAAAGAAATGAATTGTCTCCAAGAACTTCCAGAAAGGAATGCAGTCCTAAAAATACCTTCATTTTAACCCACTGAAACCCACAGAAACCTCCCCAACTGTAGAATAATAAATTCATATTGTTTTAGGCACTTCAATTGTAGTTATTTGTTATGGTAACAGTAAGAAACTAAACATATTAGAAGTAATATCTACTCTTATTAGAGCTATTAAATGCTTACAAACAAAAAGTGGAAACTCCCAATGATGTAGGACCTGGGCGTGGCAAAGCTGGCTGGGGAAATAAGCAGGACCTGTCAGTTATAAGGTCCCAGGGCAGTGCCACATAATTCCCAGACCCCATTATGTGGAACTTTACTCGCTGGCTCTCAGGAGATGTGGAATAATGCAAAAAATGAGACAAGCCACCATGAGGAGCCGTCATGGTGTCTTTTATTTTTGCTTTTATTCTTTCCTTACTTTGGCCAAAATTAACTCTACAGAGCTACTTTTTCCCTTACCCTACACCCATTA